TCGGCACTAACCCCCACTTAGAGGCCATGGTCAGGAGGAAAGAACCATGCCAGGAAAAAGTGGCTGGGGTCAACTACCCAGGAAAGTAAGGACAGTGAAGACTACATCCCAGAAGGTGGGCACTGAATAGTCCGAAAAGATTTGCACTAGAAAAATTTTTAACTCTAAAAAAACTAACATGTAACAGATTTGATGGTTGCAGAGGACCTTGGTATGAGGGCAGCTGGATGGTGCATATGCCAAGGATTCATAGGATGGGCCCCAAAAACATTGGTCTGAGGCTCAAGTAGAGTATTTTTTGTTACTAGCCATGGTGAAAAAGACTTATGAAACAATGATGTAATAGATTACATTCCTGATCAAGGGCCTGATGCTTAATTTTCATGGAAATAAATATAAACTATATTGATACAGGCCATAAAATTAAGTAGTAATTTTATGGCCTGTATTAATTACTTATGGCCTATATTAATTGTGGCCTATATTAATGACCAAAGGGATAAAATAACTCATTGGCCGAAATTTACTGGCATCATTCCCAAAAGTTAGAAAAAAAGAAAGGGAATTAGTGCTATGACTTGGGCTGGGCTACTGAAGGGTTGTGAGTACATCCCGCAGAGCTAGATAGCACAGGCCTCCCAGACCAGACTGCGCTAGCAGGATGCAGACTACATGGAAGTGTGGGTGGCGTGTTCTGTGCCTTTGGATGCAGGTGGTTTTGCTTATCTTCCTGCAAACAAGTAGCCAGTCTGTGCCGAGGTGGGAGTGCCGAGGTGGGAGTACCGAGGGTGCAGAACGCTGTTGGGTGGAACTCTCTTCTTTCTGCTCACAGTAGGAAAAAGAAACAGGCATGGGATGAGGAAAGCCAATCCTCTTTGCGCTAGCTGAAGGACTGCTGTGTGCCTCTGGGCCCTGAGGATGCAAACAGGAGAAGCACAGACCCTGATCTTGGTGATGCAGCAAAGAGATGGGGGAAATACGGGTGAGGCCACCTGAACAATAATCCTAGGCCCAAGGGCCTTTTAGAAGCAGTGCAAGGCTGGGAGGGTGGTGACCCAGGAAGTTGACCCATTGCAACAGAGAAGGTGACACCCTGACTTGAGGCCATACTTGTCCTGAGAATGCTCTAGGAAGAAGAGTAAAAGCAAAGATAAGCATGTGTCAGACAGCTTTCAAAATGTTAACAGGTTTCTCACATTAGAATTTTAAATCAGAGACTTTTTGGCTTTTCACTGGACCTTGGCAAACACTTCTTCTTTCTTCACGCATTTGACTTCATCATTTAGAATTTCACTCATTAGTGTAGAAGGGGAATGGCCATTCTAGGAGGCCAATGCAAACACAGGCCACAGGCCTGGAGAGAGCTAATCTTTCCTTTGGGCTGGGCCCCTCTTCCTCTCAGGGAGGTGTCCGCAGCTTTCTCACCTCCTGACCCTACTGGGTACTGGGGCCTCCTTCCATCATCTCATTTTGAGTCTAATGGAAGTGGAGCTGGTTGAGTTCAGATTTATCAAGGGCTGGAATGTTTACTTGAGGAGTAAATTTGCAGGGAAATTTTGAATCAGATTATTAAAATTTGGTAGCAACTTTTGAGAAGCTGCTGTCCCTAAAATGACAAATGGGGTAGGAAAAACTTTTAGAAATTCCACTCCTAACTCTGACACAGTAAAGGATTTACATTTGCATCTCAGACCCTGCAATTGGGGGGGGGGGAACCACCCAGGTAAAGAAGGGTAAAAAAAACTAGTAACTAGTGCCCTCTAAAGCTTCCTCCCAGGAAGTCCGATTAGAGTGTTCAGGTTCTTCTTTACAGGTACCATAGCTATAACAATTTATAAGATTGGGAAAGTGGCAAGGACGCACAGAGACCCAGGGCAATATGCAAAATATTGAAGAGCAAGGGGAAGGGCTCTGCAGGCCCAGAGCATTCCTGCTGTCTCTGGCTCCAAAATGCCTCCTTGAGTCTCGGGTCACTTCAGGCAGGTCCACCCTCCAGGAGGGTTGAGGTACGGTGAGCTGCTCTGGGCAGCCCACTACTTTTTCCTTTTATTCTGTCATAGGTTTGAGAGTGTTCCCAGTTTTCTAAAGAAACTGTCTTTAGCTGAACACATGTGTGCATGGAAAGGTGGAAAGACACATTTTACATGCATTTACTATTTCAGGTAGCCTGTCATTAAACATAGGTCTCAGTCATCATGTATTGAGTATTGAGACTAAACCAGGCGTCCAGTGAACTCCAGCCCGCAGGCCCCTGACCTGTTTTTGTGAGCAGTTTTACTGGRGTACAGCCAGGCTCATGTGCTGACATATGGCGTAGGGCCGCTTCTGTGCTACAAGACCGAAACTGAGGGGCTGCAACACAGACTGAATCTACAAGCCTAAAATACTTACTGTCTAGCTCTTTTACAGAGAAGTCTGCCAACTTAAGGACTATATTGAAGTATCCCAATTTAAAGAAGGTATATACAAAAAAAAAAGTCTTAGATTGTTCTCAAGAAAAGAGTTCACCCAAAGACACAACGAATAGTTTTTCATTCATCATATCTTTAAGAACATCTATATATCCCCAGTACCACACTCAGGCCACACCAAATTGAGGGTTACAAATATTCAGATTTTATTATAAATAAAATACTGTTCTTTTTTTTTTTTAAACATAAAAAATGCCAAGTGTTGCGTTTTTATTAACCACCCTGGAGAGCATGACTGTAGAGATTAAGGCAAACAGCTAAAGTGAAGGCACATACAAAAGGCCACAGTTGGAATCAAAAGGGAAAATTCCAGGGAAAAATAACAGTTTCTATCCCCTGTGACACCCAGCAATCTGCAGCAGCCATCTGTCTGTTTCATAAGACAAAGACAACTGCAGCGATACAATAAAATAATGGCTATATTGCAGGAGTGAAATTAAGGTATTGTCTTGTAAAGAACTTTCATTTTAAAAATAAAATTCTGTTTAAAAATATACCACACAGATGGAGGAGAAAACCTCTCAAACAAACCAAAACAACAACAACAAAACCCCACCATGGCCTAAGACTTGCTGGAGTGAACCTGTCCCAATTGTCCTTTCAGTCCTTTCCCTGCAACTGTGACCAAGATGCACAGGTGAAGTTGTGGCCACTTAATAAGAGGAACCAGCCGGGAACCACTGATAGGAAAACCTGGCAAGAAGGGGCCATCCCTCTGTAGTAACAGAACGGGCAAAGGAGAGCAAGAGTGAAAGCGTGGGCAGGCCCAGTCAGGACCTTATGGGGGAGTCTGGTACACCCCAAGGAGACGGAAACAGGAAATGGGACCAAGAAGTGTGCACACTACCCCTCCCRCCTCCCCATCAGCAGCACGGCCCCAGATGCCCTCCAAAGCCCGTCATAACGCACTCCCTTATCAATGCCTTCTAGCTCATCCCTGGCTACCTAGATCCCCCTTGGCAAACTTTCCTGATCCCATGCATACTGGAACGGGCATTAAGAACAGTGCGGGGTCCTGGGGATGCTGTGGAGGAGGCCCGACTCCCTCTATGGAGGAAAGCGTGCTGATGTCGATGTTAGACAACGGACAAGCTGCAAACACGAGGAGGAGAGCAGCGTCTGGGACACAAATACAACCCAAGGAAGTCTAGATGGAAGGAGAGGCGGCAAGGCAGGAATGACAGGCCGGTGAAGAGGAAAAACTGAGCCAAGATGTGAACAGACAGTGCTGTTCTAGAAACAGGACCAAGCATATTTACATAAACTCCTTACTCTATAATCATGATAAACGAAAAAAATTCACACAAAAATATAAATTTGAAATAATTAATAGCACCAGTGTGTCAGATAATAGTTTCTTTCCCCCYGCTACACAAAGTACAAAGTTGCATAGTGTTAAAGGCTATATGTGAATCTCAAAGGCAGGTTGGTAGGAGGGAGGGGGGGCGTGGTAGGGAACTGTCACACTGTGGTCTTAGAAAACCACAAAGCTGAGGACCGAAGGCTGAGAAGCCCACTAGGAAACTCCACACAAGGTTCTTCCCTCTACACCCAGAGGGGAGGTCTACAGTGGGTGAATCACAAAGTGCAGGAACTAGGGTGTTGGCTGCTGCATGAAACAGTGCAAGCATTTGCCACCAGGATTTGGCAGACAACAATGTGTTCTGAGGAATTCCAGAAGGCGGAAAAAGAAGACTGGAGCTAAGGGTCAAATGTTCCATCTCTCTCCAAAAGAAGGAAAAACCATGCACACGTGAGGTCCTGACACTATAGGTTCCACCTAYGTTTCATCCCTCTGCTAGAAAAGACTAGGACGAGGAGGTTGTTCTTGTGTTTGTCAAGATCTTAGGGACCAAGTGCTGTCTGACAGGTATTTTAACACTAGTTCCAAGAGTAACATACTAAAATAGCTCTGGGATGTTTGATTTTGAAAGAAACTTTAGTGGTTATCATCTCCCTGTTTCTTCAGAGTAAGGTCCATTTATAAGAATATCAGAAGAGGTCTACTGGTCTAGTGGTGAGTGCAAGCTGCCCATCCAGATTTAAATTATCAGCTGCCCAAAGATCTGAAAAAAAGCTTATCTTCCTAGTCAATTATTAACATAAGAGAAAATCTTCAGCCTTGTCAGCCACGTTCTCCTGGAGACTCTCATAAATAACTATACCCTGACCCATGGATGGCTCAGTTCCTAAACTTAAACAGTGAGCAGGACTGATGGATGGCTACCCACATTCTAAATGACCAGTCCCTTTGGCACAGGATATTTATTTCCTTTTGCTTACAAGGAGGAGGTCAGAAGATGCAGACGCACTTTCTTCATCCGTGGACTGGGTATACTGGCCATCACAATGCTACAACTAGTAGCCAGACTTCTCCTTCATAGAAACAAGAGTACTGAGACTGAGGAGCTCTGCTGGTGTCGATGCAAGAGGGGAGGGATGCTGCCCTGGCATTCGAGCATTCACAGGACACCAGTGCAGGATGTCACATCCTCCTGCAAACTGGAAGGGAAAATGTGGGTAAGGTAGCAACAGGAGTGGAAGAGAGACTTTATTAGATAGAACCCTTTGTTCCCAGTTCAGGATGTTTTAATTGCTTCTCTTTAAACTCTGTGACTTTTCCTGGTTCAAAAGGACAGTGATGAAGAGCAGCAGAGAAGTGGGGGTCTGAAAATGTAATCTTTGTGTCAAGGCACTCTGTGGCCTCACAAATGGTCCCCCAGCAGGGGATGCTGTCTTCTAGCCCTCTCGATGCTAGGGCTTCTCGATGGACGGGGTGTTGAAGCAGCCGGACGGTAAGGTCTTCTTGATATCCTCCAGGTTGTGGATGTCCTTCAAGATCTCCTCGATATCGCGGGTGTAGTCCATGATGGCAGCCTCCTGCTTCCTGGCTTCATTCTCCAGGTCGGACACTTTCCTGTCAAGGTCACTGGCCTTCATTTCGTCTTTGGCTTTGTTCAGGGTACCTTCAATCTCATTGAGCTTGTTCAGGTCCACTGTGTCCAGCTGACCTATAGGGCCAGAAAGCATAGAGAAGAGTACAGACACCTTCAGCAAGACCTAGAACCTCACTCAGGTACCTCCGGGAGCCTTTCTCAGCATTAACCCAGCAGCTGCCACCACACCATGGTGGCCCTGACCTGCGGGTCATCATTGTRTACAAGGGCACAGACACTGCAAGCCAAGCACAAACACTGACCCGGCCCAGCAGAGGTGGGTCAGAACTTATATAAGATATTGGGCCAGAAGCTTTTTTCTGAGAAGACAGTTCTTTGCAGAACATTTTCTCAATGCACAGCTACAGTGTTCTGTACCCTACACTCCAAGTGTGGTTCAGAAGGTCACCTGGTAACATTTAATGCCCTTTCCAGGTTTCTACAGGTAGTCTGTGTGTCATTTTAGTGCCATCTGAAGAATGCAAAAATTCCAAGGCAGGGAGAGCCTGAGCCCTCAAACTCCTAGATTCCAGGGAGGATGGGCTGGCTGGCTGGGGCACTGTCTGCTTCGGGGAACTGGACACTGTTGGGAACCTTCCTATGGAAAATGGCCAAGGCTGAAATGCTGACATAATTTCACCAAAGCCTCACTTTGAATGAAGCAAGAAAAAGAAGGCTCTGTAACAAATGAAAGCAGATACAAGTGACAGCACTTCAGGCATATTCCAGCCGATCAAGTTCTCATAAGACCATTTACCTCAGTGATTCTCAGATATTAAATAATTTGCCCAAGTATGTATAACCACAAAGATTCTGACCCAAGTCTGACTAATTTTAAAGTCCAGTTCTTTCTTCCACGAACATCTCTCTCTTCTAGCTAACTTTCATTTTAAACCCACCAGCTGGCACATTGTTTATTATTCTTGACATTTGAGACATTAAAAAAAAATTCCCCCTCAAAGGGGGAAAAAAAAAAAAAACCAAAACGAAACAAACAGCACCAAACAAAACACACCAATCTGTAAAGGCTAGCAAATTAAAATACAATGCCTCACTCTAAAGAGTCCAGGCTAGAGTACTGCCACCTTGTAATAGAATTTGGTGACAAAAGTACATCTGTCCAAAATGAAGGATGCTCCCTACCAAGATGGGAACAAGGTTTCCATATGCTTATCTTTCCTTAACAAATCAAGTTTTTTTCTCTCTTTCGGCATAAAATAATTGTGCTTTAGTCRGCAAATGAACAGAATTCCAGGCAATGAAGTCATGCCCAGTTTAAAGTATTCTTTTATTTTATCACTGAAATTCTTTTAAAATTCCTCAAAGACATTCTGCTAATGGAATGAGCTAAGAAAAAAAAAATATTGATTAATTGCCCCATGAACCTGGACCAAAAATGAACCCTATAAGCTGGCAGTGTCTCTTCAAAATTTAGACAGTCCCCAGACTGTACTGTTTTCTTTGGATTAGGGTCCACAGAATGCACCTGGTAAGCACTAGTGGATTAATACATCTGAGTCATAATTCATTTTGCTCTTTAAAGTTGATGAACATGTGAATATTATAATTAATAATTCAGGTTGCTCTTAAAGGTTCCCTTATGTAAGACACATACTTATTTTATATGGYACTTTTAAATAAGCAAGAACTAGAAGAAGTATTAATAATTCAATGGGTTATTTTAAAGGGATTCATATATTAGTCTGCCTTTGAGTGAATGATATCCAATCCCAGGTACAGTGTGACTTATTCACACAGAAGAAAAGGACTGCGCGTGGTCACTTACCCAGTTGCTCCAAGAGGTCGTTGATCATGTTGAGGAGGCTGTTCACTGAGTTTTTGGCCTTTCTGGCGTTGATCTCAGCTTCCTGAGCAGCCTGGGAAGCCTGCAGGGGAAAAGGATAAGCCATACAAACAGCTCTGACGCTATGTTTTCATCTTCTCTGGGTATATTCTGTTGGCCCAGTGAGCCAATAAATCGAATTTTCAGATGCTTTCCCCTTCTCTGATCATGAAATAATGACCTCTCACTGTAGGTTTTTGCTTTCCTGGGGCCACATCTTCAGGTTGAGGGTACTGCTAATTCTACCCCATGGAACCATCACCAAGAGGCAGTCAGCATGCCTACACTCGTATTTGTATTAAAAAACAACAACAACAAAAAAATCACTATTATCTTCTCTTCTCAGGTTCTCGCTTGAGAACACAGGAAGGTGTATTCATTATAAAACCCATCACACAGAACAAGTTATTTTTTTAAGGGTGAGTATAAAAACTCCATTTTAGAACCAAAACATGTCCTTCAGGGCACTCTTAGGGACTTGATTATTAGAAACTACCTATTCTTAGAACATTTTCATTAGCAACTGAAGCTTTTCTGTAAATTCCCCCTCAACCTGCAGCCACCCAGCCACAGCCACACACTCCCACGCTCATTTACTGGGACAATACAATTTACATCTTCAAAACCAACCAAACGTTGATATTTGGGAAAATTCCATGAAACCTGAACAAATACACTGAGCATGAGTCACAGGAAATAACAGTGGAAGAGGAAGTGTCTCAATATCAGAAAACAGATGCTCTCACAAATAAATCCAGTCAAGATAGAAATGAGTGGCTCAGAGCTCCCTGGTTCACTTTTCATAGTTTTCAGGGTCGAAGTATTAAAACACTTTGGGATCCATACATACAACGTAAAAATTTTAAACAGAAAAAGAAAGCAAGGCAAAAACCCTCCACAAACACATGATTAATCTCTGCTCCGRGGGCAGCTGTTCTCACTGAGCCGCACAGGCTTTTCTGAATGTGCTTGCAGGAGACAGGACCCTGCTGTGGCCGCCAAGAGCAATCGCACTGCATCTGTCCCATGGGCTGCAGCCTCCTCTCTCAGGAGCCACCCCAACCTTCAAGCTTCTGCTTTACAAAATATGGTTACAGACCCAAACAATACTGGCTAAGTGCTGGCCTTTCAGACTTGATAGGAACACAGCGGGATAGTGTATGTGAGGGTTGTTTATGTTACTCAGAAGTTATTTACCAAAAGTAACAAAAGATGGATCTTCTTTCTATTCTTTAAACTAAATCCATACCCTTTTCTGAAAATGTAGTGTCTCTACGACCAGATTAAAAATGAAATCACTGACTCTCAGCACATTATGAGAAATCCCTATTTTTACCACATGGGAATTTCCACTTGAGCCACTCTGTCTGTCTCACAGAAAATTAAAACAATCCAAACAAAAAAGGAAAAAGTACAATAAAATCAGGTGTTTTCACAGAGATGCTTCCTGTTATCAATTCTTCAGGCCTTGTGTTCCTCCTTCCTATCCCAAGGTGAAAATGACCCACAGTGAGAGGCCCTGTTTTTCTTTAGCATCAGTGAAAGAAAGAGTTCCTTCCTTACACTGAAAGTATATAAGTCAACAAGTTCCTGAATATCATTACTGTGACTGCTACAGTCAACTGGGCAGGAATATTCCCACTCTGTGTCTTAAAGTCTTCCTGAAGCAAAATACAGCACAGAACAGAAAAATGGACCCTAATTCTTCCTTGTTCCTTGGGYCATGTGTTCATAAATCAGTTTTGTTGCCAATGGTCTTATGTACACACGTCCTTACAAAAAATAAAAAAGTTAAACTGAACATGAAGCTGGTGTGTTTTGGTGGGGTGATGGTAAATGCTACCTTCAAATTTTCTTATACGAAAGAAATCGATCTTTGCCTCCAGGGAGCCAGCCATGGGAAGGACTAGGAAGGGAACTGACTTTTCATAGCATTCCCTTTTATCCCTTTTGATTTTATACCACTTATGCATTACTCAATCAAAAATATAGACATTTTAAATGTCCTAAAACCCCAAGTTGTAAAACAAAGTTTTGTTTTTAATTAAGAGCAGTTTTGGGACAGGACCATTGTGCAACAGAAGTCCTGGCAGAAGATCCAAATTCTTTGTCTTCTATGTAAGCTACTAACCCAATTCTTGACCAGCAGATGCAATGAAAAACAGACTCCGTATCAAAGACACTCTTCCCCTCGGGATGGGGATCTTTACTATTGAACACCCTTCAACTCTCTACCCACTCACAAGCGTGCCAAGCCTCTTACCATCCCTGCCATCATCATGTCCTGTTCGGCATCGTCTTGTTTTCTCTTCAGCTCTCTCTCTGCTTCCTGTAGCTGCCTCAACATACCGTTCACCTCGTTATCCAGATCTGTAACTTCTGCAAAAGTCCTTTCAGCTTCTGCCTTGGTGCTAGTAGCATTCTAGGCACAAGATAAGCAAATTGCTAATTTTTAAAAGCCTTCCCTTATCCGGAGTATGGCCCTACTCCTTTTATAATTTGTAAAATGTTTCAAAAATATAATTCAGAAAGAATAGCACAGTGATTTCTACCAAGGCTTCTACTGTATCACCTAATAACAGTTATTAAGAAAAACATGAATACCTAACAAAACAGCATTTTACATTTTATAAAGTGCCTTTCTTTGCATTCTCTTTTTCAGTTTCTGAAGTTCCCTGTTACTGCTATTTTTAGTGGAGGTCACAGAGCTAGCAAATGATAAACATTTTATAGAGTACATTTCCAACCACACCAGGTCAATTAGACTCTTTCCCTTGGATACATTTTAAATTCAAAGCTAGCCTGATTCTTCTGGGCAGTTGATCATAATGTACAAAAAGGCCTCCATCCTGAAATATGAGTATATTATAAACATACTTAATTAAAAATCTTCTAACTGTTCTAGAGAAACTAAGACATTTATGTGACCTGAGTTTTAGAACCAGCTCCAATCTTGCCTTTAGAGAGGATAAAGCCAGCAGAGAGAAATCACTGTTATGAATATAAAGGATCCCAGTGCAGCAGCTACGGAAAGTCTATACGGGGGGACTTGGGAATGGCGATGTGCTCGAAAGGGGCAGGAAARCTGTGTTCATACAGCATTCTATGGAACAGTGAGAAAGATGTTACCTGTCCAGGTTCAGGAAGTATGTATGTCTGGGAAGTGCGGAATTTTTTGTAGAAGGGCTCCAAAGCCCTCAGCAGCTGTCCCACTTGGACAATTTGKATTCCACACTGATTTACTATAGAAATGTATAAAGGGACCTTTTTACTGATTCTTCCTTTTCAAACAACATGGTTACCTACTCTAAAGCCTAGTTAAAAAATAAAATAGGGATGGGTCAGGACAGATTTGCTGGAGCTGAGAAAAGACTCTGCACAGGCCTGAGGGCCTGGACAGTGGCTGGAGAAGGTGTGAGGGCTATTCTGGCAAGGAGGAGGTGCACACCTGCTGGACGGCGCTGGCGATCCTCTCAGCCTCGTGGGCCTTGTTCTTGGCCTCGGTGGCATCTGCTGCTGCATTGCCCAACGCCAGCTGTGCTTCCCTCGTCTTCTCATTGGCTTCCGCGATGGTCTGGTTGATGGCGGGAATCCTCCTCAGTGCCTCCTCTGCAGCTGTCTTGTTATCGTTCACGCGTCTATCAAAATCTAAAAGGAGTTCAGGGAAAACATCAAAACGCAACTCCCAACAAGCAAAAAGGAATTTTTCAGGGACCTGCAATTATTTCACAAACAATAAAAATCAGGAAAAAAAAATGAAAGAATGGCTTGAGTTGAAATCTTACAAAGCCAAGTACATGCACATCTCTACATAGGTTTCCCAAGAAAAGTTGTAAGGATGTGCACCTGTTTCTGGAAAGAGAATTCTCACTTGAAAATCTGTTTTGATGCAGAGTGTTTAGCATACCATTGCTACCACCCTGGTGATTTTACTATCAGGACAACTGAGCTAAGAGTTCTGAGTTCTGTGACGCAGGTGCACCACTTTTAAAAATAAGAAAAAAGGATGACTAAAGAGGTTAATGTGTGGAGCAGGACTCGAACCCAGGCCTGCAGACGCCACACCAAAGCCCATACTTACAACTATTATCCTATAAATCTTCCTTTTGGAACCTATAATTTTTATCAGTAGAGAATCCATTGCTATGCAGTAAATTGGGCATATTTCTTTTCTATCCAGGGTGAAGAATGAGATGTCAGAGAAAATGAAAGATGACAACCTTCATTTACCAACATGGGTCAGCTAAAAAGGTAGAACTTGGTTATCAAATGAGTCATTCTCATGAAAATGAGAATTTTCATTCTCAAGAAAATGCTTTTTGTTTGTTTGTTTGTTTCTGAAGTGTGCAGGGGTAAAATGACATGAGCATTGGGATTTTTCTTGGAAACACTTCAGCATAAAAAAGTAGTGTGTCAGTGATGAACTAAGTGTGGTGACAACTTTGGTGACTGCTGAATCTAGGTGATGAGTAGATGGGACTCACTATGCTACTGTCTTTCATTCTGCATGTTTCCAGAGATTATCATTCTAAGAACTGAAGGAATGAAATGGCCCAAGTGGAAGAAATGTCCCAAGAGCCCCATCATGCATGACCTCTCATACCTTTCAGGTTGTTGAGAATGTCAYTGGCTTCTTGTAAGGTATTTCGTCCTTTTTTAGCAGCTTCTTCAGCAAGAGCCTTGGCAGCATCCGCTCGGGCCAGGAGTTGATCGGCAGTCTGCAAATGCAAGGCATATCAGAGGACAACCTGCCAAAGCCACCACTTCCCTCTACTAGCAGACAAGGCGCCTCAAAGCTTCTGTCCTGAGACGCTGCAGCATAGGGCATGCTAGCCGCCAGCTGGGACCAAGAAGAAGGTCCTGCACTGAACACTTTATGGTTTGCTACCTCTGCTGCTGTTGGACTCAGATGACACCTGGAATATTACAATGTTGCCTCCAGAAATGAAGCAACCTACAAATCAAACTGACCTGCTGTTCAATTTTTCCATTCTCCAGAAGGTTCTTTACTTCAAGCTCCTTCCCTCTCATGTCTTCTCTGAGGTCTTCATAATCCTTTAACTTCTGGTTAATCAGATGTTCCAGGTCCGCAGCTTCTTTCTTTATTTTATTTGCTTCACTCTGTGAAAAGCAAGGAAGATGACATAGTGATATTTTTAGAAGAACAGCCCAAGTCAAGATTTTGTCAACCTTTTTAAAATGAGACACACTTTTCACCTAGTGAAATTCACAGTGCTTACATAGTTTCATGAGTTTTGACAGATGTAGTTACCTGTGTAGCACCACCTCAATAAAGATACAAAATGTTTCCATCACCCAAAGAAGTTCCTTTGCACCCCTTCCCAGCCCCTCCACCTGTCCCTCCCTATTATGGCCACTGTTCCAATATCCTCACACATTCATCAAATTTTTGGGTGCACAGACAAGAGAGTACATGTATGGCTGCAGAGATCTAAACCTTCAGCTGTCAAGTCAACACCTCATATACAGAAAGAGAAACAGTGAATTTCAAGTTCAATGTAAAACACATGTTTATCTAGGACTTTGCATGAGAAAGCATGATTAGAACACAGATATAAAATAAATACTGTCAATTCCCAAATACCTTTCATGCCCAGAGCATCCTGACACAGTGCTTTCATTAAACCATTACCTTTTGTTGCTCCTCATATCTCCATTAGACAGTGCCTGGGAGGAAGGGTCTAGGCATATGATGCTTTAAGTAACTGAAATGTGCTATAATTTATATTTATATGAAAGATATAAGATGATTATTCATATCACTAAAGTAGTCTGCTATTAAACATTTATAATCAGAAGACTCTTCACCTTGATAAGATCTATTAGTGTACTTAAAATAGAACTTAGCTGTACTGGTGAGTCAGGGCTGAGAAGGGAGGAGTAGGGCAGTCACAGGCTCTTCTACAGACTAGAGGGGACAGCACTGGCAACCACGTCATGCGTACCTCCAGAGCCTCTGAGTCCACGGGAGCTAGCTGAGCCACACTGGCGTAGATCTCCACAGCTTTGTCTCCAGCTCGCTTGGCCTCCTCGTGGACTCGGGCTGCTTGCTTTTCTAGATCCTGTGAGATGTTCTTTGCTTGTTCATACCTAAGGAACAAATTATGAAATTTAATAAAAACAGCTCCTTTTAGCATTTTAATGTTAACCAGATTCAACCCAGTTTACACCACCAGGATATCATTCCCAAAACCTCAAAGGAAATGCTACATTAAAAATGCTCTCATTTTAATGCCAACGTTTAGCTAAAATTTAATTTTGTCATTACTTTCTATTTATAACATAGTTCCTATAAACAGTTTGAGTATTCCTAATCCCCAAATCCATAATTCTCCAAAATCAAACCTTCAGAGCACCAACATAACCTAATAACATAACAAATGAAAAGCTTCACACCTGACTTAATGTGATGGGTGACAGTCAAAATGCAGGCACACTGAAAATATGTATGACATTTCAGGCTATGTGTATGAAGTGTATATGAACATAAATGAATTCTGTGTTTAGGTTTGGGTCCCAGTCACAAGTATGTCATTATGTAACTGCAAATATTCCACAATATAAAATAATCCAAAATTCAAAACACTCTGGTCCCAAGCATTTCAGATGTGATTCTCAAACTTGTACTTTCTTATTTAAGACCCCTTTAAAGATCTACAAGTATACTCTGTTTGCTCTATTACATTTTCTCCCTTCTTTTTCCAGTTAGTATGTAGAATTTTAAGTATCATGACTAGTCTTATTATCATTCTGTACAGTTACAGTAATTGGATCAAACAAAATCTCTGTGGCTGCACATCCCCTGCTTTAATTACTCTGCCATTTCAAAAGCTCAATTAACAAAAGAAATCTTACTGCATGAATGCACATCCTGAATCCAAAGCATTTAATTCCTCATTGAATTGGTGTTATTTACAAGAATATTTGAGGGTCTGAAAGCCACTGTTAAATTATACTCACTTCCTATTAAGCTCTTCAATCTCGACTGCTGTCTGATTTTCTCCTGCCAGTGTTCTCAAAAGCAGATTATATGCCTCAGTTGATGTATCATTGGCTGTTTTTGCTACTCGTACAATGTCATCAGCTTCTTGTTTATGGCTAGACACATAAGAGAGAGAGAAAAAAATCAACCACAGAAGAGACCATCTGACAGGAAAAGAAGTAAAATTTGGGTAATGCTTATTTGATTATATATGCGTACACTAATGAGGGTTGAGATCTCCAAATATTGGAAAATCCCATTCATTTGGAATTTTACAATCATTTCAGTGGGGCTAAGTTTACAAAAAGTGTTCTATAAATTGAAAAAATGCAGGGGGGGAGAGTATTTCCCAAGATGAATTAATGATATAAAATTTATAGGGACAGTAAAGGGAGGTAYGGGGAGCAAATATTTTCTACTGAGATATGAAAATAAAGCATTTTTGTTGTAAAGTTAACATGAAAAGAATTTAAAAATTGAATTCTACTGAGCTGCTTAGACTCTATCAACTTTAAGACTCTGAAGTTAAAAATCTAAAAAAGTATGTTTTTTTTGAGATATGCAAATATAATCTTGCTACAAACCGTTGTATTCTAACTCTTCAAGTGACCACTCTAATTTCAAAGTAGAAAGAAGAAGATGGTACACAGAGCTGCTGACATCTCAGAAGGGAAAGTAAGTCTTTCAGAGGGACCCATCTGAGGGGTGGTTCAGAACACCCAGCTACACCCTGGGAAGCTACACCTTAACCACTAAACAGAATTACCGTTCAGCCAGCTTTCGGGCCTCTTCTGCCAGAAGAGTCATGTTGTTTGGATCTCCTGTAGACTCCGGCTGAATGATTGACTGAAGAGGAAAAAAAGCATTTATTCTCAAAGGACTGAAGTGCTTAAATTTCAGAAAGCAAGTGTCAAAACTAAATTTTTGTTAGTGTTAGAGAGAAAAAAGACTACTTCTTATTTTCAGAGATCTTTATTAAATGATTTTACAAATGATTTCTATTTTCAGCAAAGGAAGATTAAACTGCCAGTTACAGAGAAAGAATAAAGTGAGAGGAAACACAGGTGTCCCTYGTTTTTACCCCATGGGTACTGTCTCACGACAAGGAGGGACATGGCTTTCTGGYTCGGGGGAGCAGCAGGGGAGGAGCTGAAGAACGCATCACCGCCCCTAACACACTTGCCACAGTTTTCCAAAGGGCTCCCCGCCACCCCTACCTTCCCACACACTCACCACATTGGCAGCTGCGATTTTTGCTTTCTCAAGTTCTCTGGAGGCAATTTCAATCAGCCGTTCTGTGCTCTCCACTCGGGCCCGTGCTTGTTCAGCCAAATTTCCAGTCTCCTGGATGGTGTTCCGGATGTTCTGCAAACGGCCGATTTGGCTATGCAGAGTGTTATTCACCCTCTGAAGGCGATCCATCAAGTTCTGGTCCACATCTGTAATGGTATTGCAGAAGAGACGCCATCAATGATCTGAAATGGGCATGATGTCTAGCGAGAAAACTGAGGCACTGTGTATATTGACCCTTCCAAATCCAGCCTCTTCCAGACAAGCTTCCCCACAGCAGAGCTGAGCAGTCTGTACCGCTGCCATCAATGGGTCTCCAACTGCCTGCCCCTGAGTCCCACCTGACTTCGAGGCCCTCTTTCCCACTCACCACTATATCCCCAGCCTTACAGAGAGGTTGGAAAAGAGAAAGCAACAAAGGATTTTTTTTTAATATTTATTTTTTAGTTATAGGTGGACACAATATCTTTATTTTATTTTTACGTGGTGCTGAGGATCGAACCCAGTGCCTCACGCATGGTAGGCAAGTGCTCTACTTCTGAGCCACAACCCCAGCCCACCAAGGATTGTTTGATGAAGGAAAGAAAAATTGATTTTGATATTCCAGCACAGGCCAAATTTAATCATAAATACACAATGTTGTTAAAAATGCTGCTAGTCTTGGAAGCTAAATGTACTTCAAAACTTGGGGAAAAAAACTGTGTTTAAAACCATATCGACATACGGCATATTCAACTCACTTTGTATTTTGAATTAAATAGACTGTTGCTGCAACCCTTTCCCCCTTGTACATATGTAATTCTTTTAATTGGTCTCTGCTTTTAAATAGCTCTTTAAGTTGCTCTTTATTAATAATACTCAACTTAATACCTGGATCCTAATAAACCAAAAGATATATATAAGCCCATGCAAACATAAGCCTGCCAGTATTTGAGGTTATATTAATACACAAAAACCATTGAGTAGCTGGGTGCAGTGGTGTATGCCTGTAATCCCAGCTGCAAGGGAGGCTGAGGCAAGAGGATTGTGAGTTCAAAATCAGCCTCAGCAATGGTGAGGCACTAAGCAACCCAGTAATACCTGACTCTAAATAAAATACAAAATAGGGCTGGGGATGGGGCTCAGTGATTGAGTGCCCCTGACTTTAATCCCTGGTACCCCCCTTAAAARAATCATTAAGTCATACTCAAAACTGACCAGTGAGGGGAACAGAATAGAAAGCAAGAAATAAACTCCACAACTACAGCCAACTGCTTTTCGGTGAAGTTGCTAAGAACACATGTTGGAGAAGGGACAGTCTTTAATAATGGTGCTGGGGAAACTGAATATCCACATGCAGAAGAATGAAACTAGAACCCTACCTCTCATCAGTTACAAAAGCAACTCAAATGGATTAAAGACTTAGAGGTAAGACCTGAACAATGAGACTCCTAGAAGAAAACACAGGGGAAATGCTTCAGGACATTGGAATGGGGAAGAATTTTTTGGACAAGACCCCAAAAGCAGAGGAAACAAAAACAAAAATAAACCAATGGGATCAGAGCAAATTCAAAAAGCATGGCAAAGGAAACCATCAACAGATTGCACAGAAAACCTCCAGAATGGGAGGAAATATGTGCAAACTATCCATCTGACAATGGCTTGGTATCTACAGTATATAAAAACTCCAAAAATTCAACAGCAAAAAAAMCCAAATAACCTGATTTAACAATGGGCACTTGACCTGAATAGACATTTTCAAAAGAGACATACAAATGACTAACAGGTATATGAGAAAAAATTTAACTTCACTAATCATGAGGGAAATGCAAATTAAAACCACAGTGAGGGGCTAGGGCTGTGGCTCAGCGGTAGAGCGCTTGTCTAGCATGTGCAAGGCCCTGGGTTCGATCCTCAGCACCACATAAAAATAAATAAATAAAATAAAGGTACTATGTCCAACTACAAATAAAAAATAAGATATTAAAAAAAACATAGTGAGACAGCATTTCATCCCAGTTAGAATGGTTATAACCAAAAGACCAAAGATAATAAATGCTGATGAGGATGTGGAGAAAAGGGATCCATTACACACTGTTGGTAAGAATGTAAATGAGTACAGTCATTATGGAAAACAGTATAGAGGTTCTCCCCCAAAATTAATAACAGGCCTAGCATGGTGGTGCATGCTGTAATCCCAGCTATTCAGGAAGGCTGAGGCAGGAGGATCTCAAGTTCAAGGCCAGCCTAGGAAACTTAGTGAGGCCCTAAGCAACTTAGCAAGACTCTATCTCAAAAGAAAAAAACAAAAAGGGCTGGGGATGTGACTCAGTAGTAAAGAGCCCCTGGGTTCAAAATATAAATAAATATAAATAAAACCAGATACATAGTGCAGCAATGTTTATCTCTCTAGCAAAATAGAAACCAGTATGTGTAAGAGCTGTCTGTGTTCACCATGAGTAAGAGATGGAAACAAGCAAAATGTCTGTCAACCAATGAATGGACAAGAAAATATGGTATGYATAATGGAATATTATTTGGCCATAAAAAGAATGAAATCTTGTCATTTCAACATGGATGGAGCTAGAGATAATTATGTGAAGTGAAGTAAGCCATGCACAGAAAAACAATTACCACGCAATCTCACTCATATGTGGAATGCAAAACAGTTGATCTTGCCAGGCATGCTGGTGCACACCTGTAATCCCAGCAACTCAGGAGGATGACAAGTTTGAGCATCTCAGTGAGACTCTGTCTCAAAATAAAATAAAAAGAGCTGGGGGTATAGCTCAGTCATGGAACACTTGCCTAGTATATGCAAGGCCCAGGGTACAGTCCCCCAGCACTACAAAAAACAAGAACAACGTTAATCTCATAGAATGGTAGTTATCAGAGGATGGAGAGAGTAGTGGGTGGGGGGAATAATGAAAAGTTGATAATGGGTACTAAGACATAGTTGCCTGGGAGCAGGAAGTTCTGGTGGGTATAACAAAACAGGGTGGCTATAGACAACACAGTAAGTACAGTTCAAAAAGCCAGAAGAAAGGATTTTGAAAGACTTTACCCTAAAAAATAACAACATGTTTGAGGAGACAGAGAAGTTTAACTTGATTTAAATACCACATCATCTACACATATATCAAATAACTACATTAACCCATAGTATGTACAATTTATATGGTTTTAATAAATAAATTTAACTTTAAAAAATGAACCAGTTCTTACTTCAGCATGATGCTCAATGTAAAAAAGAGGTCAAAGTTAAAAACAAATGAGATTAATAGTTTCAGAAAACAGCATTTGAAGCAGGGCCACCAAATACATGTGCAAAGGTGATCCATTGCACAACCTTGGCCTAACTACACACAGGGGTCCTGCCTGGAATGTCACTTAGGCAATTCCTGAATAATCTTAAGAAAATACTAAGAACACAAGCTTAGATCAGGGAAAATCATTTAGATTTAGGAGGGAGATGCAGCCAGTAACATCTGAGAAGCCCCCTCCCTTTAGACCTTCAAGAATGCAATAGTTCTTGATCTTTTTGTCCAGTTCTTTACAGAAACAATAATATCTGAAAAAGGAACAGATAACCTAACTGGTAGGTTTGCTTCAAATGCCTTCCAATTTCAAGTGTCTACTTGCCAGACTTAATGCATCGTATAATCTCCTTTTAAATTTGTACAATAAACACTAGTTTCAACTACAAATGAATACTAGGGGATAAAAAAGATAAATAATTACAAAGACACTTTCATTCTTGGCTAGTTTGAACCTCGGCAGGCAAGGGCAGCCAGGAACTCTGTTCATAACTGAGATCTTAGGGAAGGTGACACTAGCCCCACCTGACTAGGATGCTTCTAGAGCTTTCAGATGCAGCAGCCCACTGTACTCTGGCTCAAAGAGGTATGATGGCTCCCATCAGAGTTTCCATCCAACTTAATCCCCTTCCAGGGCAGAGGAAAAAAGGTAGCAATTGGAGCCAAAGAGAGTTATGGATAGCTGGGCTGCATCAAGATGCTTGGAATGTAGGTGCCCAAGCTGGGTCCCTTCCTTTCTTGCTCTTTGACCTACTCCCGTGGTTGCCAGTACTGCACCAGAGCTGAGTACTAGACCCCTGCTCTTTGCTGGACTGATCAGCACTTTGGATATAACCCCATATTCAATTTCTCATATATATGACAAGATAGATGTGAATCAGCTGTCCTATCTAAAACCAATACAAACATATAAACAATTTATGTTAAAATAAGCTATTGACCTCTYATTATATTTTCAATCTCTAAAAACTGACCTATGGAACAAAGTCTGGACTCTCATATTAAAATCAAACTGGCCCAAACGAGATACACTCAATTACTTCCTCCTCTTATCCAATAATCACATAAAGTAAAATTTCTATACATTTGAAATATTTAAAAGAAGAAAGGAGAAACGTATTGTTTGTGTTGACCTATGACAGGAAGGCCTCTTCATACAACTCCAAATGGACAGATTTATAAGCTCAATGGTGAAGTCAATCATTGCCGTCTCAAGTATACTTTTAATGTACATTTATTTTGTTCATCTGTGAACTCTTGCATATCAGCGATGGGAAGCCCCATAACATAGCTGGCCTGATGGAGCTGGGTCTTTCTATCTTTTCATTACTGGTGTGTTGAGCAAGTGCCTGGATTACTATGGTACTCAAAGAGTGCAAAAAGGACTTGCCTGAGTTTGAAAATGCTTAATTCAGGGCTGGAGTGGTGGCTCAGCGCTAGAGTGCTCATCTAGCATGCATGAGGCACTGGGTTCCATGCTCACCACCACATAAAAATAAAAAAGATACTGTGTTTACCTAAAACTAAAAAATAAATATTTAAAAAATGCTTAATTCACAGAGTCAGAAATAAGAACAAGACTTTGAAGTGATTTTTTTAAAGCCAACAATCAATTATTCAAAATACTTTAATGTTTAAAAACTAAGTTGTCTCTTAAAGTATATAAAATATTTTAAATTGTTTCCTACATCTTAAGCCCATCTCTTCTTTGTTATCAATCTCATCAGATAATGTGCAAATGACTAATTTAATTGCAAAGGACCTTAACGATAACATAAGATGAAAGCCTATGCTTTTCTATAATGTTACTAGTACATCTGTTTGCTAATCAAATGAAAAATTTCCTAAGTAGGCACTAGTTTGTAATGTTTACTAACTGTTGCATAGTCAGTAGCTAGATATTCAGTCAATGCTTAAAGATCATGATTTTTTTTTTATGAGCGTCCTTACTAAGGAAGCAGTACATAAAAAAATAATTAATAATTAACTTACAGGAGTACTTTAAACATTGAGCTTCATCTCCAGTCCTTTTTTATTTTGTTTTGAGACAGGGTCTTGCTAAGTTGTTGAGGGTCTGGCTAAGATGCTGAGACTGGTGTCAAACTTGTGATCCTCCTGCTTCAGCCTCCCAAGCAGCTGGGATTACAAGTATGCACCACTGTATCCAATTCAAACTACATTTAAAGCCATGGTGTAATGGAACAAATCTATGAAACATTTAAATCTGAATAGCAAATATTTTTGATACATTGGAAAATTACCTTCTATTATATATTTTTTTAACATTTATTTTTTAATTGTAGATGGACACAATACCTTTATTTTATTTCTTATGTGGTGCTGAGTATGGAACTCAGTGCCTCAAACGTGCTAGGCGAGGGCTTTACAGCTGAGCCACAACCCCAGCCCCCTTCTATTATATCTTAAAGCATTAAATTGATGATTGTTTTTTGAAATACTATTCTGTAAAAATACATATTGTACAAGTAGTTTAAAAATTGAGAAAGAATTTTATAGAACCTTACTAATTAAATGAATTAGGAACTACATCACAAATTTACATTTAATTATGTGTACCTTTGACATCCTGGGCCTCACGAAGGAGGTCCATAACCTCTCTCTCTGCTTCCTTTAGCCTATCCTCAAAGGCTTGATCTGTCACCATCTCATCCCCAGTTCCAAGGTTTGCTATGAGACTCTCTAATTCCTGGAGTTTCACTCGATGATCAGCAACCTGAACATGATGGAAGAGAAAAGGGAATGAGCTCCACTGTACTTACTGCGGGAATTTCAGAGGCACTCTGTGAGTATGTGTTAAATAGACGTGATGGGTACTTTTCCTTTTGTTTCTCTGGCTTCAAAAAGAAGCCTTCCGGAGTGTCACTTCCTGACTTTAAACATCACCTGCAGACAGTTCTTCAGTTCTGTCCTTTCCCGAGTGGTAGATGATCTTCTTGCTTTTTCCACTTACCTCTGACAGTATCTCGAATTTAACATCCAAAACCAGACCTCTAAATTCTGTTCTCCCTGAGCATCTCAGTGTATAGCATATCTAGCTACCCTAAGCAGAAGACTCAGGATCCATCCTTGATTCTCCTCTCCCCCAGTCATGCCCTTAACGCAGGCATTTATGCAACAGGATGGTGGTTCCTATTCTGCCCCCCACCTATCACCATCCTAATCATAGTAGTCAGAGTGCTCCTCTTCAAATGCAAACTGGATTCCCAAGCTTGGAAGAGTTTTCCAGTGCCTTCCCACTTGATTTGGAATAAGGTGTGAACTCTATTCTAGGGTCACCATGGTCTTACATAACCTGTCCCTACCAAACACTCCAGGCTTGTCCCAAGCTACTCTCCCTTCAATCAGGAGGCGCCAGCCGCCCTGGCTTCCAGGCCCTCCCACGCCAGGTTCCTTTTGTTGGGAACAACCTGTGGTTACTTGGCTTATTCCTTTTCACTTATTCCTTCTTACTTGGCTCATTCCTTCTCATTCTGAAGCTCTCACTTCACAGGAATTTCCTGAAAGAGGTCTTATACAAAGTAGTTTCCAACAGTTATTCTGTTTATATTCTTTCTGGCACTTATCTCAATATGTCTTGCTTATTTTTTAATTTTTTATTATTTCCCTCCTGACTAGAACATAAGCATCTGAGAAGAGGGATTATGTCTATGTTGTTTACCACTTTTTCTCTGGAACTGTGTGTGTGCTAAGTTTTCATCCAACATCTGCTGAATGAATGAACGAACGAATGAACACACTATTGACAGCTTACCTTATCCTTTACCAGCCGGTAACAAGCTGGACATTCCTGGCAGCCAGGCCAGGAACGATTGTAGAAATAGTTCTCTTCGCACTGGTCACAGCGGTTTCCCACAAAGCCTTCTCTGCATTCACAGCGACCATCATCTTTGCACTGGAGTGAACGAGACCCCTCAGGATGACAGTCACAAGCTGCAGTAGGGGAAACAGTACATAATAAGCAAAAGGAGGACAGGAACATTTCCTTAACTCAGACTGGTAACAATAAGCTAATTCTATTACGATTATAAGTCGACTTTGTTTTACAGACCTATTTATGAGAAACTAAATGGTTAAGTCCACTTATCAGAGAAGACAGATAATTTTATTTTAAAGTAAAAATAAGCCTTAAAGTAAAAAAGAGGTCAAAGTTAAGAACAAATGAGATTAATTTGTAAACATGCATCCTTTAGGACATGCTTCATGTTATTTAATAGTTACAGAAATTATTAAACTAATAAGTGCACCTTTCATGCACTTCAAGAATTCATCTATCTTCACCTCTCCACTGCCTAACATTTCTCTGAAGAATGAGAAAACCCAAATGCTAATGCTTCTCTTGCATTATTTTATAGTTTGTTTACTCACTTTGTTCTCTGAACTTAGTCAGTGACTTATGCTACATTCCACAGGAGAAATGAAGGAATTCAGAAAGCAAAAACACCAAATTGTTCCAAGGCCTAATTCTAGGCAAGTGTTTATGCCAAAGAGAAGCAGATGTTTATATGCAACCGTCCCAGAAGGGGCCCCAGGATGGGAAGCAACCACGGCCAGTAAGTCAATGAGCACACTGCGAACAGGATCCTTCACTGTTTCATTGTCGGCACTAAGAATGGGACCAATAAAAAAAGCTCCACTAAACATAGTGAGCAAGCTCAGGAATCCAAGGGGGAGCTTTCTTTGGAAAAAAAAATAGAAGATTGAAAAGAATAAAAAACATTTAAAAAGAAATATGAATAAGGTAGTTGCAAAGAAATCAGGGACGTCCTTAATTTCTAGAGTTTTAGACAAGGAATATTCATGGAATAAAGCATCTATGATGCTTTAGGAATGGCCCTGACCATAAACCAGGGGGCTGAACAGAGGCTTGTCAAAGTCCTTTCTTCTCTCAGTTGCTACTGGAATCAGGGGAGACTTGGCATTACATGCCACCAACATGTCTTACGTTTACAGCCTTCAGGTCCAAACCCAAAGTGGTTGACCTCACAGCGCTCACAGTGCTGACCAGTGATGCCCGGCTGGCACTCACACTGGCCGGTGCGGATGTCACACTGCCCGTTGGTGGAACCCAAAGCATGGCAATTGCACCTGAAAATGAACACAGGACACTCCTAAGGTAGGAAAAGCAGACTTTAGACAAAACTTTGTGGCTTTGTTTCAGGATAATATTAATTCAATCTGTATGTTTAAAGGTTGTTAAGACAGAATGTTAAGGGTTACTAAGCCCCCAAGGTTCAAGTTATTTTTATGAGAGCTACTTAGAACCTCTTTTTCTAGCTTAACCAATACCAGTGTCTCTCCACACTGGTACTGCATCAGCCCTGCCCAGGAGCTTTGAAAATAGGAATTCCCAGGTTGCAACCCTGGAGGGTCAGATTCTAAGTTTCACAGAAAGAACCTGGTAATTTATAACTTTATTAAGACATTGCTCAGTTGATTCTGACACAGCTGGGGCCACTTCTTTGTCCCATTAGCCTATTGACAACTGTTCAGTATTACCCTTAAGGGTGATTTTCTGTATCAGGCACTCAAATCATTCCTGAACAAAATCAAGCCATTATTAATTATAACATAAAAATTCACTTCTTAAAATACAAAAATAGCAAAGATGACTTCCACCTATCACCAATGCCTCACCTCTCACAGCCTTGTCCACTCTGTAGGTTGTAGAAGCCAGGGTCACAAGTACCACAGTCCCGGCCGGACACATGAGGCAGACACTCACACTGACCGGTCACAGGATTACAGCTGCTCTGCTGCCTCACAGTGCCATATGGATTGCAACTGCAAGCTAGGGAAGGAAGAGAGAGAGCAAAGGATGGAAATCACCTGAGAGAAATACCAAATACAGAGCCACTCACCCGGCTTCCAATATGGAAGCTGCTGGGCACATGTGGCTGTTGAGCACCTGTAACGTGGGTGGCCAGTCTGAATGGAGAGGTGCTGTAAATGTGAAAACATGCTGGATTTTGAAGACTTAGTGTGAAAAAGAACATGTATCTCACTGATGATTTTTTATTAATTATTTGTTGAAATTATAATTGTTGGCTACATTAGTTTAAATAAAATATATTAAAACTGCTTTCTCCTGTTTTAGTTTTAAAAATTAAAAAAAAATGTGATGGCTAGGGGCTGGGGCTGTAGTCAGCAGCAGAGCACTTGCCTACCACATGTGAGGCACTGGGTTCGATTCTCAGCACCACATTTTAAAAAACAAAAACAAATAAAATAAAGGCATGTTGTCCATCTACAATTATAAATTTTTTAAAAAAAATATGGCAGAAATTTTTAAATTATGCAAGCGGTTTACACTGTATTTTTATTGGACATGGCTGCGTTAAACCAAACAACTATGTGTATTTAAAGAGACACACAACGAATCTGCAGAACAAAGGTGTATACCTGTGACAGGATTTGACCAATGGCTGATTACCTTTGCATTTGTCTGCTGGATTGGGAGCCAGGGGATTTCCAAAGAATCCATCTTTGCACCGGTCACAATAGAAGCCCGCAGTGTTATAGATGCATTTCAGGCACTCTCCTGTCGAGCGGTTGCAATTTCCCACAGCATTGGGATCAATGTTGTCATTACATTGGCAGAGGCGGCAAAGCCTCACAGGGCCATTTCTACCCAAGGGGTCTCCAAAGTAGCCATCATCACAGAGCTCACATCTCTTACCTGGGGATAAGACAATCTGATGTTATGATAGAAAGGTCTGGTGCTCAGTTACCTGGTCACAAACAGTGTAGTCTAGCTATCAGATGCAAGATGATATAGTTCAGTGGGGGGTAGGAGCCCTGGGTTGCAGCCCCAGCACTGGGCCAGATCAGTGGAGTGACCCTGTGCACATCTCCACTTCCCCATGAGAAACACAGGCTCTGGTTTGCCTGCCTCACTACAAATGTTCTGATAATTAACCAAAATCATGTATTAAAAAGTGCTCTGTAAATGAGTCAGGCCCAAGGATTATGAACCTCTCCAGTCCCAAGGGATGGCAATGCATATATGTCAGTCTTGGCTGACACTACTAAAAAAGATGGAGTGCCTCTCTCAATACCCTGGGTGTCCCAGATGACAGGTTGAGGAGGATCATCCTCTCAACATATAACAGGCCCTTGCTGTCTCTAGTTGAGCAGTGTCAACTAATAAAGAATCAGAGATTTCTTGAAGTGAACTTAGAAATCATACACTGCCACCTGTTCCTATCAGAGCTAAGGGCACACACAGGTTAAATAACTTGCCCACAACCAAATAAATGACAGAAAGAGAAGCAAAGCCAGAAAYGGGCTCTTTCCCCTGATACTAAACTCCCAGCTCCTCATCCTTCCTTTTCTAGTTTCTGACCATCATTACTCAGGTATTAAAAGTGCAAAGGCTCTTTCTATCTTTGTATTCAAAAGGGCCTAAATGAGCCTAGAGGTTTTGGAGAACTGCATGTTCATTTATTCAACAAATATTTACAGAGCATCTGCTGTAGGCCAGCATTGTTCTAGGTTGTCAGGACGATGCGAATGAGGCGGTCCTTGCTCTCCTGAAACCTGCTGCAGCTGGGGGAACCAACACCCAGACATCCAAATAAACAAGACTATTTCAGATAGGGATAAGCATAAAAAAAGTTAAAAGAGCGCAAACAAGATAAGGTGATACAGTAAGAGTGACAGTGACTTTATATTGGATAAGAGAAAGTCTCTTTGTGAGGAAACRCAGGGATGAAGATGGAAAGTCAGAGGGAATAGTGTTTCAGAAAAACCAGTCAAAGCAGAAGCAGTTAAGAACCAACCCATGCAGGAGACTCTGCAATCTGGATTTCAATTTAAGTGCAGGGAAAAGCTCCTGGGGTTTTAAAAGTGCTGTGATCTGATTTATACTTAAAAAGGATTATTTGGGCCTCCACATGRAGAATGGTTCTTAGGGGAGCAGGTGAAGCAGGGGAGGCAATTCCAGGTGAGAGATGACAGCAACTGGAACCAGGATGGTGGCAGGGGAGGTGGTGAAAGTGATCAGATCTGAGACAGTTAAGACCTGCGGGCTTTTTCTGGGAAATGAAAGACAAAGGATCAAGGACAAGCCCTAGGATTTTAACTTGAACAACTAGGTAGATGGTAGTATATTTAATGAAATGAAGAAGATTAGGAAAAGAACAGGGTTGGGATTGGAGGAAAAAAGAGACAAAGATTTACCTTTAATTTGTTTACTTTGGGGATTCCTTTAGCTATATGAATCAAGATCACAGCAGAAAATAGTTGGCACATTCAAATTAGCAAGACTTGGGCAGAGTATAATAAAGGTGCCATTACAGAGTCTGGGGAGTGTTGGAAGCCACAAGGATAGTGCAGCACCTCGAACAGGCTCCAGAACCTGCCTCTCAGGTGCAGATAGACCAACCAGGTACCAGAGCCTAAAGATAGAGCTGTTTGGAGAAGGCCAGCTGCCAAGAGCTAAAAAATTAAATTTTGAGTCACCAACACAGAGGACCCCACAGAAAGGGGGCTCAGAATGAATACCCTGCCCTCACTCTCCTCCTTCTCTTTGATTACCTGTATGTGCTTTCTGCCGTTTCTGAACGCTGGTGGAAACTGGCTCTGATGTAGCACATACAGGTCTCATCCATAGGGGACAGAGAGTGGATATGAAGGGACAAACAGATGCATCCACCCCATCAATCACCCAGGCAGGGATGGGCAACAGGTAGCTGGTGTTCAGGGCTAGAGATACAGAATTTGCAGTCATAGGCTTTTGAATCCCAAAGAGGAGCTCTGACCACCTCCAGGTCAAGCTAACATGAAAGCCCCTGTTGAGAAACAGGGGGGAAACAAAGGATACACAGAGGAAAGGAAGGAAGGAAAAAAAGCAGTGATGTGGCATGGAAGGCAGGAGGGGACAATGTCTGAAGCAGAGGGTGGTCAATGGTGTCCAGCACTGCTGGGAGACCAGGTAGGATGAGGACTGAAAACTGACCCCTGGATTTGACAAACACCAACTGATAAGCTGAACAAAAAAATGTGGGTGGAGGTGGGGCAAAAGGGGAAGCCATGTGGCCCTGAAGTAAACAGCCACCACACTCCTACCCAGATCCATCTCCAGATCAGCACCAGGCAGCAGGCATTCCAGTTATGCTTCTCATCAGATAATTTCGCTATTTCAGATATGACCCGTATTTTAAAAGTTTTGAAACTAGATTTGAATAAAACTTAAACTAAGATTATGTAGAAAAGCTAAAATAGAAATGTCTAGTAGTCTGTGAAAACTCCAAAATACTCTCTGGCAGCTACAACTAGACAACCTTTTTTTTAAAGTTAGCATCCAGGTTCAAGTTCTAACTGTATGACTTAAATCTGGGCAAGTGATTCACTTTTCTGAACCTTGATTTTCTTATCTTCCCTCCCCTAGAGAGGAGAGGTGTCCTTTCTTCCCCCACCACTCTGGTGTACGCTCTTTTATCTGAACTAACCGTGCTGTATTCAATTATCTGTTTTCCTCCATAAATTTAGCCTCTGAGGAATAGGAACCATCCTTTCCTCATCTTTGTATTTCTAAAGACATGTACTCAAGTTTGCAGGAAAAGAGATCATTGCCATTTCTTTACCTCCGAAAACCATGTTAAATACTAAGGCACATGTAGAAGGATGCCACGTGTGATTTTAGCAGCCAGCACACTTGAGGCACTAAAAGAAGCCCAAGGGGTCTGGGGCCTAGAGTGCAGGTTCAAGAGTGGGTGCTGGGGACTGAAGCTAAAGAAATCTGTTGGGTCATTCGCTTAAAAAAAAAAAAAGTAAGACACTGATGCATGTGTGTGCACTCACACAAACACACTGAAACTCACATGGTACCCTATTAACATATACAATTTTAAGTGTGCATTATCAGTTTGAAATAAAATTATAAAGAAACACAAGAAAGTCAGAAATATGAAATTTGACACTCATTTCCCTCATTTGCTCAATTGCCTTAAGCAAATGAGTAATCATTCTGTGTGGCCGTTCCCATGGTGCAGAGTGAGTGTAGCACGGAAAGGTGCCGTGTTGTGATGTTTCCTGGTGATACAGTGGCAGTATTTTCTAGAGGAAAAGCCTTTAACAGGGTCAAAGGCTGTGCCAGAAGGCTGGCCAGAACCTCTCCATTACGGTGCTGGTGGAGTGGCAGGGCAAGGAGAAGGCCTGAAGTGAGCCTCAGTCTGCCCAGCTGGTCAGCATGGGCAGTTGTCTGAGTAGCTCTGTAAGATAAACTTTTATAATACTTTGAAAACAACAATAAAAACTAAACACATAGACCAGCAGAGGGACCTATTCAAAGTTATAAAATGCAAATGTATTTTCTACCAAACGTGGTGGCACACGCCTGTACTCCCAGCCACTTGGGAGGCTTGAGGAAAGGAAGATGAGAAGTTGGAGGTGAGCCTTGATGACTCAATGAGACCCTGTCTCAAAATAAAAAATAAAAAGAGCTGTGGATGTGGCTCAGTGGTAGAGTACCACAGGTTCCATCCCTAGTACAAAAAAACAAGCAAACAAACAAAAAAAACTAAAAAACTAAAAAAAAACTAAATGTAAAGGACTCTGATGTATTAATATAAACTATTTTAAGGAAGAATTTTAAAATCATCTCTTTATATCAAGAATTCCAGGACAATCAAGCAAACTAAAAGTCAAGTCTGACTTCTCATCTTATAAGAGCGAGTATGCTATAGTGATCGTTATCTCTGGAGCAGGACTGCCTGGGATGGAATCCCAGYTCAACCACAACTGGCCACGCAGCCATGGACATGGGACTCCATGCCTCCGTGCCTCAGTGCTCTTGTCATATCATGGGAGGAATGGTAAAGCAACCTTACAGTTATGGGGTTTAATGAGGAGGTGTGTGTACGGTGCTTAGAGCAGCTCTTGGCCACAAATACTCAGCAGATGTTAGCCGTAATTAGTAATCTGATGTGCATTTTATGAATCCACAATCAACCTGATTCCTACAAAACCTTTTCCTATGAGGAAAACCACAATCACCGAACTAAACAAAATACTCCAAAAACGGGGGGGGGGGGCATCCCCCACCCCTCAGAAGCCCTTTCCCCCAAGTCTTCTAAGATGGAACACTGAACAAGACAAAAAGCACAGACTTACCAGTGGTACCAGTCGGACAGTTGGTGCACACTACCTCCTTTGTCTTGGGAACAACAGCACAACTTGAGCCCCCAGGACATGGACAAGGTTGGCAGTCAGAAGACGTGCCCACAGTCGAATCTCCGTAGTACCCATCACTACACTTCTCACAGTGGGGGCCAGCAGTATTGTCTCTGCAGTTACAGACACCTATTCAAACAGCAAGTGTGAGAGGACAGGCAAGAGTCCAAGAACATAAGACAATGAGCATTTCCTACCCAACCACCAAAGAAAAGTCAGGCCCAGCAACTGTCAATCATTCTCTCACCTGTCTCAGGGTCACAGGTCTCACTGTGTCCATTGCAGGTACAAAGCACACAGGGACTGTATGGTCCGAGACTCGGAGTTTCTCTTCTGTAACCCGGGAGACACATCTCACAGAACTGCCCTCCATAACCCACTGGACAGGTGCAGGTCTCCACCCAAGTTGCAGGGACCCCAGGCCCAGGACGAGCACTTGCCAGGGTGACATCATCCAGATATCCAGCACCTGTGTATACGGTGTGGAAGAGAGAATCACTGAAGTGCTTTCCATTTCCCAAAAGATTGTGAAAAGTCAGTCACTCAAGAGTAGCCAAATTCCAAAGAAAATTGGTCACTGGCTTAATTTATCTGCTGAAGAAGATAATTAGAAAATAGCATTCAGGACAACCATGTGGTACTGGGTGCTAAATTTAGTTCAACATTTTTTAAACACACACACACACACACACACACACACACACACACACACACACACACACCCACCCCACAGATTTGTCAGATTTTTGAGTTCTCCCAATTACCAATGTGAAAAATAAAAGCACTGAATAATCATTTGTGGCAAAAAGAGATTCAAGCAAGAGTGTAGAAGGAAAGAACAGTACAAGCCTATAGCAATTAAGTAGTGTTTTGCTCTTTTGCCATAAAAACAGGCAGAAACTAYAAATTCAAGGATAAGAAAGAAGGGAAGCAACTGTACAGGTACACTTAGGTTGTATTTTTTGCCCTACACAGAATAGTAAAGATCAAGTAAATTAGGTCTAATGTGCACAATCATTCCAAAGCCAACATGCCATATGCTGCAATGCCTTCCCATTTTCAGAATGAAAACAGAAGAAGCCTTAAATCAACTGAGACCAATGTTCACGCCATCTGGCAGTGTCTCTGGCAGCAATGCTCTTTGGGCAAAGTGGGCCTTGGTGATCGCCACTCAGGTCACTCCACCTTAGCCTTCAGCAGTCTCTGCTCTAAGTAGGTTTTTTTATTTCCCCCATCCAAGTTACAAAAGGTGGCTTGCTATTTATATAATTCACTTGGAAACTGACCACCTAAGGTTRAAGCACACCTCTTATATTACTGGCTTAATTTAACCTTTCATACATTTATGGCTTTTTTGCCCAGTTAGATCATGAGATAAGCCTCCTCAGGCTAACATGCCTCCAACTCTAAACATTCTTAAGTCTCCCTATTCTAAAAATACTCTCTTCAGTCTTGTTCCTACTCCCAAGTTACAGTGCGGCTCTTTCCCTTCCCTTACAGCCAAACTTCTCTAAAGAATAGTCTTTATTTTTCTTCTTCCCTTCAGTTACTTTTCAAAGCACTGCAATCTAAATTTAGTTTCAACACTTCTGAAAAAAAAAATCAAAACTACAATCGACAAAAAGTCCCTTGCCAATGATTCCTTAATCAGCCAATCTAAAACCCAGTGGTGCTATCATCTAACCTGTTTATCCTCTGTAAAATTCCTTTCTCCTCTGGGTCTCAGAGCATGGACCTTAATTAACAGTGTTTCCAGGACTCCATCCTCTTTCTCTTTCTATATTTTGTATCACATTTCCAAATTTAAAAATTTATTGCCCATATGTTGACAGACTTCTAAATCTAGATCTATTGTTCTAACCTCTTCCTGGGGCCTAGGTTCATATTTCTAATTACTCCCAAGTGATTTTCATCTGGATATTCACACAAGCATCTCAAAAATCAATACGACTAAGCCACTGATGGCACTGTCAACGTCATCCCACCACACTGACTCAATCTCCTTCGAATAGCTTCACCTTCCTAGAGAAGTACCTCATTAAAAAAAAAAATTTAAAGGAAAATAATGTAAAACATTATTAAATTCTTATTTAAAATTACAGCAAATGATTACTGAATAATCTATAATTTTTCATAATTTAGCCAATGATTCAAAAGACTTGATAATTACAGAGCAGCAAAAAAAAGAAAATGAAGAGTAAGCATCTTGAACCAGTAGAATTATTAGGTTTTTAAAGAAAATCTATATTTACAATAACTTCAATTGACTTACTAGTGACAAAAGAATTGTACTTATTAATTTTAGTGAATTTTCTCTAGGTCCATGAAAGTAGGTTAAAACTATATTATTTTCTATATAATTCATGTGTAATAGGGTAGTTTATACTGTTTCTTTATAATCAGTGTTACAGTAGTAGAAGAGAGAAACTCTACATTATCAGGAATCCTTCTACCCAATTGTCTTAAACAATTCTTCTAAATGACATTACAACTCACTTCTCTCACTATATGTCCCACGAATCTTGATAGAAGTCAAGTTGTTTAGTAGCTTCTGAAATTCAAAAGGGGAAAGAGCAGGCCTCCAGGGGTAATCTGTTGCTTCATGGAGCCTGGGGAGATAGAAAGAGCTGCCTTAACCTTTGAAGGATAACCCTGGGTGCCGGGAAAGCATTTCTCATTCATCTTATCCTTTTATACCACCAACAATGCAATGCTCTGACAATCAGAAAGGAGATTTGTTGGTTTGACAATACAACTGGAGGAGGGAAAGATAAACAAAGGAAAGCTCCCTTCATCAAGGTCTCCTTGATCATCCAAAAGTTCTTTAACACACACTGGGGCGAGTATAGATAGAGAGACTGCTTTCACAATGCAGGTCACGCCCGACTTTACAAAGAAGGCAGCCTCACCTGAAGATGTACTTCACGGTGGTCTCGCTTGGGTAGGAATTGCCCTGTGCGATCAATGGCACGGACACTCTCAAGCCGGCTCCCTCCAGCACCAGGTCTTCTGCAGAGAGGCGAGTGTCTCGTCTGTCCACCCGGAAGGAGAAGGAGAGGTTCTGACCATAACTCAAGACCTGGTTGCCCAAGAACTTTGCTGGAAAGCAGACACAATGGTGGACAAGAACATGAGAATGAGGCGAAAGAGATGCACCCAGCAAGCCACACTGCTTCCCAGCCTCACTTACCAGGGGCAATGAAGTATCTAGGAAAGTAGCTATCTGAGATCACGGTGATATCTTGCCTCTCAGAGGACCACTCGAGAGATGCTTCAGAGCCATCCCTCTGCTCCACGCGCCACCCGTCCTCATCTGCAGACAGGATGAAAACACAAGCACTGTTACACGGCAAACATCCTGAACCAGTCATCAATAAAAATTTTCAATGAATGTTTCCTACAATAGTACCTATGTATGCTATGCCCCTTAAGCTATATACCACTATATTATTTATGTAACGTTTGAACTCACTGCTCACCACAGTAAACTCTACAACCATATATATATATATATATATTTTTTTTTTCTATTAAAGGACCAAAGAAGAAAAATCATGCATGTTAAGTAACATGGAATGTTTCCTCCATCAAAAACTCTCAAAGAGGAGGGTGAAGTGGCACATGCCTACAATCCCAAGCACCTGGGAGGCAAAGGCAAGAGTCTCTCAAGTTCAAGGTCAGCCYGGGTAACTTAGTGAGACCCTCTCTCAGAATCAAATATAAAAAGGGCTGGGGAGGGTCTGGGGCTATAGCTCAGTGGTAGAGTGCTTACCTAGCATATGCAAGGCCCTGGGTTCAAGCCTCAGCATCACATAAAAATAAATAAGTGGAATAAAGGTATTGTGTCCAACTACAACTCAAAAATAAATATTAAAAAAGGTGGGGGGGGGCTGGGGATATAGCTCAGGAGTGGAATATTCCTGGGTTTAATCCCCAGTACTGCAAAACAAACAAATAAAAACCCTTAAAGACTTACTAATTCAAAAAACAAAAATATATTTTAAATTACAGTCTCAGAGTCCTAGGGGTACTGGGAGATAAAGTCTAAATTACCAATGTRAAAGGTAGAGGATATAGAATAAACACTGTAGCCGATTGCATTTGTACAGACAGAAGAGTGCCCAAAGCAGAAGCAGGGGGTGCAACCCTTAGGATTAGATGGTTCCAGATTAAAAAATCCAGGTTTGCATCTGAAAAAGATTAAAATGCAATCAGTTATTTTTTTTTTTACTTGAGATATGATAACACAATAAGAAAATGATACAGCTGGAGAAAGATGGGCTACCTCTCACAGTTGAAGCCTTCCACGTTGTCTTTGCAAACACACCTTCCTGTTTCCACGTTACATTCATCTATGCTGCCAGAAGGATTACAGGAGCACGGCCTATTCGATGGAAAATAGAATAAAATCATGAGAGAAGAGAAGGAAAGAGAGACTTCGCTCTTAAGTCAACCTTTGCTTTATATGTTAATCAATTCTACACATGGAACAATATAAACCTCTAAAGTCATCTTTCTGTTGGGTTTGGTTTCAGTCCAGGATTTTATCAACTTAGAATTGAAACTGCTCATTCTGTATGAACCAAACTCCGAGCAGCTAGCTCGTCACCACTTCTAGTCTTGAATCTTGTTGATGATTACCATGGGGAAAACGTTCACACTGCTGCCAACAAGTCACAGATCTACTGTTATGGACTGGCCATATATAGATTCTGCCCCGTCTCTGTTTTGTTTTGACATTTATTTTTTAGTCGTAGTTGGACACAATACCTTTGTTATTTATTTATTTTTTTATGTGATGCTGAGGATGGAACCCAGGGCCTCGCACACTCTAAGCAAGCACTCTACCACTGAGCCACTCACTCCGACTCCCCATCTCTACCTTTGAGAACATTTTACCTGCATCCTGCCTCCGTGAGAGAATGGAATCCAGGCTGGCATCGGTCACACTTGTCACCCATCACTCCTGGCTTACAGCTGCATCTGCCGTAACTATCACACTGTGTGCTGAGAGAACCTGAAGTTTAATGAGTTCACTGTCAACCACCAATCCAGATACGGAAGTAAAATCAATGTGTCAAAAGAAAGACAACTGGTAACTAAAAGAAATGCCTGACGACTGAAGTGTGATCTCYAGATGATCTCTCAAAATCCCACCCTTTTACTCCCTGACATTTAATCTTCCAGACATACCCGAAGTTGATTCTACTCAATTAAGAACCACTCTGCCTGCCACGGCACACCTGCGCAAGACCTGTCACTTCTCTGGAGGTGAGCACAGGCCCCTTAAGGCTGTGCCTAGAACTTAGATATGTACAGGAACATACAACAAAATGATTGTTAAACTCCTGAAAAGGTGCAGTGGACTGGATKCTGTGCACCTCTAGATACACACCAAATGCTGAAAACAGTCTGGCCCTTGAAGGAGATTAAACTAAAAAAAATCATTAACAAGAAAGATCCTTTTACAGTCAAAGTTCAAATGGTCTGCATGACCCTGTTGCTAATTATTTACAGAACCATTGCTTGGGCCACCATGCACTTTCCTACACATCACAAGAGCATGCGAAAGCTCAGCAAGGTTAACGACAGTGAAGGTAGGGGTAGAGGCAGATTCTGAGTTGTTACATGCTACAGTAATGTATGCACCTCYACTGATGTTCAAATGTGCAGGAAGCCAAGTTTTACTTCCTGGGCATTAGGGAACTCTTGTCTCTCAATCCATCAGGGTGAAATGGGTCCCTGCTGTCACCTACCAACAGGACTGCAGTGACATGGAGAGCAGGCTTCGTTGTTCCCCAGGCGGAAGAAGTTCTCCCGGCACCTCTCACAGTGGGCACCATCAGTGTTATCCCGGCAATTGGTACAATGGCCGCCATGGCCCGTGGAACGGTAGAGCTCAGGGTCAAAGTAGCATTCCTGCGATCGGCCACTGCAGTCACAGGCTGTCAAGCAAGACACATGAGTAGTGTCAGATCCATGTACTTTAAAGAATGGCATTTTAAAAGACGTCAATAAAATCAAAAGATAACTTCCCACATGTCTGTGAGAGATACGTGGTGACAGAATAAGAATGACCACCAGATGCATTGTTCCTTAGAAATAAAACAAAAAACCAGTATGTCAACAAAAAGTTTATATAGCCAGATTATCAGCTTATCAAGAAATATTCATCTTTATTTTTAAAAAATAGGGTTTCATAAAATATAAGGAATTCCCATGCTCAGAAAATAATTTGCCTCCAGGTAGCTATTCATATACAGGTAAAAGCCAACTCAAACTACAATTTTCCTGGCTCTTTATGCTTCATTTCCAATTCTAACTCCATGAACAAGGTGCCAATTTACATACAAGCACCAATTCTACCTTTTTATTTTTTTTTATTTATTTTTTTTTTAGAGAGAGTGAGAGAGGAGAGAGAGAGTTTTTAATATTCATTTTCTAGTTCTCGGCGGACACAACATCTTTGTTGGTATGTGGTGCTGAGGATCGAACCCGGGCCGCATGCATGCCAGATGAGCGCGCTACGGCTTGAGCCACATCCCCAGCCCACCAATTCTACCTTTTTAGACCTCAGGCAATTTAAAGACATTGAGACATTAACTTTCCAAGTGCCAGATTACTTGCATATCCATTCTGGGAAACCTGAGGTGCATGGACCAAGATCATTTCCTCTGTGGATGGAGCAGAATTAAAGGGAATAGATGCTCCTGACACATCTACCTCCCAGGAGCCACAGTTCCAACAGGGTTGTCTGTTAAGCACAACCATATTTTAAGAATAAGTGTCTTTAGTCACAAAGTCTTTACGACATTTATGTTAAGGTGATTTTTCTCCCAATTATTGATTCTGCCCAGAGTATATAGTAGTATCTTGAGTGCTAAATAAAGTTTTGTTTGATTTCTAGATAGAGGAGGACCTGTTAACCTTTTAAAAATATTTGAATATTCTTTTTTCCTTCCCTTCCACATAATCAGTTCTTTTGTGAAAACATTTTTTTTTCTTAAGAAACTTGAATCACGGCCCAAAACCTATAATTTGAGTTTTGTTGTTAGTCGTATAGTTCCCTTTCCATCTTCTATTGCTCCTTCTCTTCCCTCAAGCTGCCCAGTTACCCCTCAATCAGTCCACCCCACCTACGAAGTCTGCTGCTCTGAGACTATGAAGCAGAGCAATCTGTGTCCACACTGATCCAACCCAGAGCAAAAGCAGATCTGTGCCTCCCTCAACAACAGCTCATATGAGAGAAGGAAGCTATCATTTTCTCTTCCCTAGCCTCAGAATCCTGACAGGACTGAGTCCTATCCCAACTCCCCAAAACTTCACTCTTTGAAGCACCACGGTGTTGAAGAGACCAAGGAGGAAAGCAAATTGACTTATTTCTTCATTGAAAGTTCTTAACTAGAGCAGCCAGTTTGCTGGCTGTGGTAAGCTGGCTATATTTCATTTGCTTTTCTTATAATTTCCTGCGTGGACTAAAAATATAATACCATTAAGAAGAATACTTTCCAAAGCTATGAGGACTTCATTTTTGTCTTTTGCCAGCCTTTATTATATAGCTTCCAACACTGGGTACTTCAATACAGTGATGGAATTAAAGAAGCTCCACCAAGTGCACAGAAATGCTAGAGGAGGCTGTGAATTTTATCTGTAAGTCTGGAATTTGTTTGAGGGAAAGAAAAGATGAATAAGAAAATCTGCTCCAGGCACATCAATGAAAATACTCATGAGTCAAAATAAACCCTTCCCAAGGTTTCTGCCAATAATTTCTGCAAGTTCACAGTGTCTTCTTTCGTATTACATTTATTCCCAAGACAGTATGATGAAAAATATTTGTAAGGGCAAAAGAACATCATGGCTGTCTTAAAAGTTTGTTTGTGTTAATCCCTTGGCAAATGATGATTCCATGGTTTCTTTCCTGGGAGGTTTCTTTCTCTATCTGTTCAGAATAAATCATAACACTATAAAGAAATAAATAACATGTTATCTTTTTCATTTTGCCTTTTTCAAGACTACAGAACCTACTCTTCCTCCCAAAGCTACCAGTTCTSCACAGTGGCAACGGGAAAATTTTCCCCACTGTACTTGTTAGTGAGATAAAGGAAAAACAAGTTTTGAGAAATAACCTTTTGATTAGTCTAGAATTCACTGTACCTGACACATGCTAATCAAGTTGTCTTTTTTGAGTAAATTAAATTAGCATTGATAGGAAGAACAATGTAATAAGCCTTCTATATCTGTGGGTTCGAAACCCAGATATTCAAACAACTGCCAATCAAAAGTGTTTGGGGGAAAAAAAAAGTGTCTGTATTGAACACATACAGATCTTTTTCCTGTCATTATTACCTAAACGATCCATTATAAGAATTACCTATACAGCATTTACAATGTATGGGGTAACAGAAGTAATCTAGAGTTCATTTTAAAAGCATATGGGGGGTGTGCGTAGCTTRCATGCAAATACTATGCCATTTTACACAAGGAAGTTAAGCATCTGCAGATTTCAGTATTTGAGGAGGGTTGTGGAACTGAATATTGAAGGAAGCTTGTATTTTAAAGGGCATTAAGGAAAAGAGTAGAATATTTTAGTGGGACCTGTATGTCTAGTATTTGAATCTAAGCAAATTTCCAAACCCTGATGCTGCTGCTTCTGTGCTGGTACTCATGAAGGAGACACAAATGAGCCCTGTTTATCTTCATAGCCAATTGCTTTTGTCTATGATTTTCCTCTGACACACATGCAATTTGCTACTCTCAGACTGCARAAAGGATACGCCTTTCACAGTTTTCCTTTCTGGGAGGAATAAAGAACGGCTGGTTCCTCCTTCTACCTCTGGAAGTCCTTAAGACAACAGGCAGACAGCCCAGGGGCACTCACGCAGGCACTCGCTGGCACTTTCAGCAGTTGCCCTCCTCCACGGCCGGTCATTGAAGAAAGGCAGGCACTTTTCACAGTCCACTCCATACGTGTTATGTTTGCAATTACACACCAGCTTGTCAAATTCATTCTTCACACACTCGCTGGCATGTCCGTTACATTTACACCTGGAAAGAGAGGAGATGTCCCCAAGAATGAACTCCTGCAAGTTCCCAGAAATGATGTAGAAAAACTATGTATACAGAGAACCAGAAACAACCAAAGAATGCTTTTGAATTTTACTGTTCAAAATGTAAACTAAGGAAATGAGCAAGACTAAGTTAAAAGAAAGAGCAGCTTTATTTAAAAGGGAAAAGGCCTTAACCAGGTGTGAGAGGAAAGCCCCTCACAGTTGCTGAGGACACCTGTAGGATCAATTCCTGAACTCAGGTGCGTGTTGAGAGGCAGCAGGGTACTGTGGTTAAGAAGGCTACAGTGGTTAAAAAGGGCAGGGAGCAATCCCAGCAACTGAGGAGGATTACAAGTTTCAGGCCAGCCTCAGCAACTTAGTCCCTAAATAAAAAATTTAAAAAGAACTGAGGATGTAGCTCATTGGTGAAGTGCCACTGGGTTTAATCCTAAGGACCACAGCAATGTTAAAAAAAAAAAAAAAAAAAAAAGCTAGTGGAGTAGGAAGTCAGGCTGCCTAGGTCTGAAACCCCTGTCACTCACCAGAGTAACTGAACCTCACCTGTAAAGCAGGGATGACGACAATGTCTACCTTGCAGGATTATTGTGAGGATCAAGGAGTTGCCTCATTTATGTGCTCAGGATTGCACAGGCACATATATCATATATTGCCAATAATCTGGCATACTGATTTCAATGTGCAGGTGGTGAGACACCAAATTAGATATGTCGTCCTCCATGCGAGTATCTAGGAGTGAGAATATTCCCTCAGGCTGCATGGGACAAGACTCCTTGAAGGATTCCCGAGATGCAGGTATGGTCATAAACTAGCACCCAAGGACCCTCGTGAATACTAACTGCATGGTGGAGCAAGGACACTCCCTCACGAGTTTCCTTAAAGACTGTGGCCAGTTTCATAGCTCAACTATCATTTGAAAATACATGCAAACACTCTGGAATCATCTAAAGTGTGCCAGGATGAGTCCCAAATTCAGATTTCCTGCTCTCTTCCTTCCCCTGCGCTGTTCTCCTTGGCTGCTGCACAAGCTTARATGTCTACTGTGACCTAAAGTTTTACTCGTCTACAGCTAAACTCATCATCTCCACCAAATTAGCCCATCTTCTTCACTCACTGTGTTAATGATAGTAYTTTTCTCCTAGATCACTGAACCTTAAAATCATTTTAGACTAAGTCTTGACAATCAGTCCTACATAAGAAAATGGATCTGTATATTCTTTTCTATTCCATTGTCTCCAACACCTGATATCAGGTATGTGTCACCTAACACCTGACTATACAGCATCATAACAGAAATATGAATTCTCTAATTATATCCTACATTCACTCTGCTTGATACTAATCTCCATAATCCACTGTTTTGATATCACTGCCTATTCCAGAAAGTATGCCTGATATCTCATTGGTTACAGTCTTCATTACTTTCACTAAGCATCATTACCAGGAACACAATGTGCAAAAATGATGTTTCTGCTCTTGATATGTCATAGGCTCATACAAGGTAAAAAAGTACAAGATTCTTGACGTCCTATCTAAGGTCTTGGGCCACTAAATTATCATTCAGGTTAATAGTTCTACAAACTTATATAAGACATTGTTATGGTTTGGATGTGAGGTGGGTCCCAAAAGCTCATGATGAGCCTTAACATAGTTGATGAATTAATCCCCTGACCAGATTACTGAGTAGTAACTGAAGGCAGGTGGAGTGTGGCTGGAGGAAGTGGGTCCCCAGAGGCATGCTTTTGGAGTATATAATTTGTATTTGGCAAATGGATTCTCTCTCTGCTTCCTAATCCTCATATGAGCCGGTTCTCTCCATCATACTCTTCCACCATGATGTCCTGCCTCACCTCAAGCCCTGAGGAATGTCTATGGACTGAGACCTCTAAAACTRTGAGCACCAAATAAATTTTTCCTCCTTAAAATTGTTCTTGACAGTTTTAGTCACAGCGGCAAAAGAGAGCTAAATGAACTAAAATGAACATTTTTCTTACTTCAMGTAGGTTTATACTCTCCCATCTCGGTAACTTTTGCTCCTGGCCATGGCCATCCTCCTGCACCCAGTCCAGATGTCTTTCCTCCTTATCCAAATCCTACCCATTCTTCAAGGCCCAAATAAGATCCTCCTGCTCTTCTAGCCTGACAGTTCTGGGTCATTCTTGATATATGGAATTTTTCTATTGCTGCTTGATATTTTTATACTTAAAACATGTGACCATACTAGCACAGGTAGAACATTCTTATCCCTTGGGATGAGAAGAGTTTGGGATTTCAGRTTTCCACAGATTTCAGAATATCTGTATACACATAATGAGAAATCTTGAGGCTGGAACCCAAGTCTAAACATAAAATCCATTTAAGTTTCATATGCACCAGGGCTGAAGGTAGTTTTATGTCACATTTGAAGTRTGCCTGCATTTTGACAATGACCCATCACCTGGGATCAGGTGTAGAATTTTGCATCATGACAGCACTCAAACAGTTTTAGCTTTTGAAACATTTCTAATTTCTGGATTAGGGACTTTCAACCAGTATTTAAATTTCTATGCAATCATTCATGACCTGCCGCTTTTATTTGGAAACTTCTAGAAGGTGAGGCCTTCTCAGAAGGCCAGTCTTACTCTTCCTTAGCAGTCTTGCTTCCCTGTGCTGGGGCTCTGCATTTAAATGGTCAGTGTGTGCTAAGGTATTGGTTTGACAAGGTTTTGTTTTCTCTGGAAACTAATCATTTAGTTTCCAGAGAAATATTCTAGGTTGCTGCCTGTCCTTCCAGATATGTATTATCCCTAAGTCCTGACACTCTTGCTGTTAGTAAGGAAAAAAAAAATCTAGCAACAGCATGGATGCAGCTGTAAACAAGGCGCTACAGTCACTTCTACAGCAGAGCACGTCCAAGGCAGATTTAATAGTTTGCTTACCTGCCACCCACAGCGAAATCAGAGATTGCATAATAATAGGACTTGAGAACTTTGGGGTCATTAAACACTTCATCTCCAAAAGTGTTCAGGCGATTGAGAGTCACTCTGATGTCAGTAGCTGTTACCCACTCCTGTCAGGGAGCAAACACAGAAATATAAGAGAGTACAGGAACTCTGATGAGAGACATAAAAGTGATGACGTTTTCTAAGTAGTTCGTGTATAATCTAAGGTTTGTCCTTTTCTAGCACTAAATCTATTAAAATACTCAATGACTCCTTAATTTCCTGATGTTTTTCTCCTCCTAGATTCTTCCCTTCTTTGATTGACACTGTTACTTTAACATTCAGGCTAGAAGAAGCAAGACTAGTTTCTTCCACAAGACTGTTCAAAGGTTTAAGTGAAACACATATTTAAAAGACTGGTGTACGGGCTGGGGGTTGGCTCAGTGGGGAAGTACTTGCCTAGTGTGTACAAGGCCTTGAGTCCCACCCCTCGTACCACAAAAATAAATAAAAGGCTAGCATATATTAGGTGCTCAATACATGTGTCACTTCTCCCCATTCCACATCTACAACCCAAATGCAGAGACCAGCTCAGAGGTCACAGACCACCATACTGTTCTAGATATGCCTCCCTATTCCTGTTCTGTACCATCTATCCCTCCCCTCCTGGACCAATCCCTACTAACAGATCTGGGGGAAATACCCATGTGTGAACTTGGCATTGGTTTGGAACAATGAAATGTGGCCTTTTGTCTTGACCTTTCCCACAGCATCACCTTTTCCATGAGGTCTTCCCTGGCCACCCTATCYAAATGGCTATCCCTCCCCAGCTCCCTACTTTCCTTTCCTGTGCTATTTGTATCATCTGCTCCCACCATCTGACTATAAGCACCAGGTGGCAGGCAGTCAGTGTCTGTTTTGATTACTGTGTTCAGTGAACAGTAGGTATGCCAAACGAATAAATGAACCTGAAGAGCCCACGTCTGACCACGTTGGAACAAAGGTTCCACAGCTTTCCCCTAGGTTTCACCAGATCTGAGCCCTGACACCAAGTGCCCCTTCACTGAACTGACTTAATCAGACATTTATGTGTGTGGTAGACTGGTACAACAACGATCCCATGAATCCCACCTGCCAGAACCTCGCCCTGTGCTGACATTTTCCACACTGTGCTTGTGTGTCTGGCTGGTTTGGGGGAGGAGACATCAGCAAAGGTGACACCAACAGGCTTGTCTAGCAATTACACACAAGGACCTGCCCTCCSGGGACACTTCCTCCCCTGCATGGGAAGCCAGGTCCTGCCTTCTGAGGATGGAAAATGACCTGCTGTGTGAATGAACCCAGGCCAACTAGAATCACGGAGAAAAATAAACCACAGATGTTCAGAAACATTAAGTTTTGGGATGGCAGATCATGTGTGACCACCCAAAGGTACCATTTCTGCTCTAAGTCCTGGGGACCTTCCTAGGCATTACAGGTTAGAGTCACCTTCAGAGGTGTAATGAGCAAGTGCAAAGGTGCAGGCATCTATGCTTCCAGAAGGCTCCACGAGAGTAGGGTGACACACCTCTGCTTAAGAACCACTGCCTTAAACTATGCCAAATTGGCACACAGAGCAACATGGAGAGCTCATAAAAGCTAATCTCTTTGACACTTTGAGTATAATTAGAAAGAAGAAGAGATGATGACTTCACTGCATCCAGTCTTGGAATTCCACAACAACTCCCAYTYGYGGCCACAACCGTTGGAATTTGTTAGTTGTCTGTAATGTAAATAGCTAAACATACCCCTGCTTAATGCTTTTATAACTTCTACCACCTGCACCTTGATCACAGCTCTCCATGAAGGAGGGCTGACGCTTAGCCAGTGTTGTTTCATCATGAGCATCTTAAAAAGAGCAGACGCTAGAGCTGGACTTCACAGGGCCTGAATCTCAATTCTGCCACTTAAAACTGTGATCTAGGGCAAGTTATAAGCTTTCTCAGCCTCTGATTCCTCATCTRTAAAATGGARATAATGAAAGTAACTTACGGAGCTATTATGAGTTAAAAGAATCAYTATCTCTTAAGAGCTTGGATTAGCACTTACCACATTGTAGCACAAGTGAGTAATAAATGCTGTTATTACAACGATGTATGCTTAGAAATGCTCCTATACAGTGAAAGCAGGAAGGGCTGCCTCCTCCATCTGGGAGCCTGCAGCTTCTGGAAGGAGAGGACATCTGTCTCTCTCCTCATTCAGACCAGCTGACAATCCAGCCCACTCTCCTTGGCCATGGGACATGCGGACCACAGCTCTTACATCCAGAAACACATAATTAAATGAAATGACCAAATTATGCAGATGCCTATAGCATTTTTACCACATGCATTCTCACTAGTTTCTATGGGCATAAATAGCAGCAGATGAATTTCCACAGCAGGGGAAGCTRCTCAAGACACGTGACACTAAGACACATAGTTAGCACAGGCACCAAGAACCACAGCCACAACTTCATTACACAGCTCTTGCCTGCTGACCATACTGTTGCCTGTCCAGGACAGGAAAACACAGCAATCTGCTGCAGGAGGAAATGAGGCTGGCAAATGCTTCCTGGTAAGGCCTCCCCCCAGCGTTTGATCTTCTGCTTTTCCATCTATCCGAATCAACTGTTCTTTCTGCCATTCATTTTGAACATGGCCTACTCCCATTCCAAGAAACATTTTTCTGAAAGGCCTCTGCAAACATATTCACTGTTCACCATAACTTCAGAATTTACCAAGTACTTTCACATTCGCCATCTCCCAGCAACCCTCAAAGGAAGGAGGGAACTAACTGGACCCACCGAGACACATACTCTTTGATTTGGCACTGTTCAAAACCATACAASCAAATTAGTGAGAGACCTTGAACATAATAAATTTCAGAGAGGAAATAATGAGAGAACACTACAGTTTTCAGAAGACTCAGAAAAACAGCAGGATTTCCTATTTAGAAATCATAACAGGTTTTCATAAAATGTACACAGCATTTGCAAATCCACATCTAGTCTTCCTTGTCTCAGTCGATGAACACAGGCCACCCCAGCTAGATGATAACCTCAGCCACATGACAGTAGTGTCTCCAACTCTGTGTTTGTATGCTGAGACAGGCACAGGGCTCAGAACTCTTTGCCATTATCCAGCTAGATCATACAACAAGTTTACAGAAATCTAAGTAATAGAAGATTCCAAATCAGGGTACACAAGGAAAGCACATATAGAATTGGTTAAAAAAAAAAATCTTTAATTTCTTCTGCCATTAGACAGGGAAAGGTTTCTATCACAACACTTAAGTGCAACACCATGGGTACCTAACTGGTACCTCCACTAACACCCATCCTTTTAGATGATGAAAAATTCTTATAGTGATTGGCAGAAGAGTTAGACAAGCCCAACCAAAATCTCCCTATGTAATAATGGAGGAAGGTGGCATTCTTAAGTATCTTGCTTCAACTGTTCCCCTTTGCTAACTTAAAAAAAAAAATACTTTTTATTTTTGTCAAATCAAAGAGGTAAGAAAAGATGCAAGAGTACTTGGATAGATTAGGTCCCATTATCTTCTTCCAAAGGTCASAGGCAGAATATTTCTGCCTCAAGTGCACAGACTAAAATCAGACTTGTTCAACTTGTTAAAAACTTGTAGTGTCCATGCCAGGGTATCTTTGCAAGTACATAAGGACGTGAGAACAAACCAGGTGGTAGTAAGAAAATAATTTCCCTGGCACAAACAGCAGAAAACTCAGCTGTCCATCAGAAGTAGGTTCCACTCTGATCCCCTCCCTAGCAGTGGGGCTCCAGGCCCGCTGCCTGACCTTCTAGCACCTGGTACGTGGAAGAGCTACCTGGTCCCCCCGCCACGCTGAGGCTACCTACCTGCAGCACAGGACTATTGTCAAAGTTGTAGGCACTGGGCCTGCCCTCCAGGGTTGAGAAGGCCACGTTGCCTCCGGTGAGGGGAGAAATGTCACTGAACTCATCGGTACACAAGGCCTGCTGCTCATCCCCTCCTGTCCTGATAAAGCCACGGCTGGCCTTCAGGTAGGTGTTCTCGCAGGAGCCACTGTAGTACTGGTAGGGGATCCAGGGCCCATCCTCCCGCGTGCGCTTGTAGATGGCGAAACTCTCGGGGCGGCTGGTATGGAACTTGAGGCGCACGTAGGTGATATCAAAAGCTTTCCCTGTGGGACAAACACAYGAGAGTTCATGAGCCCTAGGAGTGAAGGCCAGGAAACCCCTCCATTCCTAGTTTGGTCTGGAGGATACAAGTCTCCTGTGCACATTAGACCAAGACAACCCCAGAACACACCACATGCTGGCTATGTCAAGTAGGACATCCTAAAACTGCAAGCAGTGTACATTTTCCCACAGAATGACAAAGTACAGATAGGTTCAAACATCAGCTCGTAAAGACCTGTTCATGACATACATTGCTGAAACTCTGTCTGCAATGAAAACTGGTTGCATCAGTACTTTAAAAAAAAAAAAAAAACTAAAACTAAATTAAAAACATTTATTCTTAAATCTGGTGCTTCAACAAAAGCTTAATTAACAGATACAAAAATATTTGCTGACTTTCTAAATGGTCTACTTGTAAGACTTTTAAAATCTCATTCTTTATTAAACATTAATGTCATTCTTGATGCAATACTATTTACTTATCCAAATTAAGAAACAGAGATTTTAGGAAGGGAGGTAGTGTCTGGGAGATGGAGCAGGAAGTAGAACAGGAAAGAAGAAAAAAAGTTTTCCTTCAGAAGTTCAACAAAGAGATGGGAAGAAAAGAGGCTTAAAGATTGTACTTGGATGTGTTCAAAAGAGAATACATGAATCGGAAACTCTGAGAAGGGCAGGAAAAGGGAGGAGTCGATGGGCTGCCACCCCTCTAGAAGAAGAGTCACTAGGTCAGACAGTTCCCTGCAATAACTAGTGCACAGTCTTATGGTCAGGATGGCTTGGCTGCCAGCCAACGWGTTCAGATGGGTAAAAGAAAGAATGTGCAACTGTGTTTAGTCACYATTCATTCACACACTGGGTCTTTTTGTTTGTATCAATTTTTTCTATCTMTTTTGTTACTTTTATGTTATAGTACAGATCCCAATTTGGTCAATAAGTATAGTTGGGCAAAACTAACACATTCGGACCTGAGCCATATACTGGGGGACAGGAGAAGCTTATTAAACTTGGGACAGTCTTCTCACAAGTGAATTAGCTCCTCAGGAATAACCATCCCGACCTCTCTGGCAATGCCCTCTTATTGGTGATAAGGAGATTCATGGTGTCTGTTCAGGCCACACTCTAAAACTCAGCTTTATCCACAGCAAAACTGATATGATAAGCTAAATCTATTTTTCAACTGGATCATATTTCTGCTCTTGCCATTTTCTCTTCTGTAAAAATGAGGATGATGGTACTGGCCAAATTCTATTGTTATATTGTGTGCATGTGTGATAAGTAACAACAAATTCCTCCATCATGTACACCAGTTTAAAAAAAAAAACAGGTAGGAAAAAAAATTAGGATGATATTCCCTGCTCCACCCACCTCAAAGGGTTGTAGGAAGGTCAAACTAAGACCTTGCATGTGCCTGATGAACTGAAAAACTTGATACAGATATAAAGCATTATTATGGTAAGATATATGGAAAAAATTATTAGACTAGGCCCTTGGATATGTTCACACATAAAGATTTTGCTGTAGCATGGACTACCAGGGTACAGGTGCCAAAGGATATATATGAATAAGGATCTGGCACTTAGGATGTAAGACAAGGCTTTGCCTGGACACAGACCACCTACACACAGTTAATGCACCTCATGTTAAAAGAATGCAAGTTTAACCTTTATTGTATCTATTGTGTCAAAAATGTCAAGCCCTCACCTCTGAATGAGACTCATTATCTCAGACATTCAAGAATGGTAAAACAGTCTAATTATATGCAGGAGCAGTTAGCTCAGGATGTTCAAAGGCTTCCTCACTAATCTGTGGATTACAGATTACCTTGCTTTTCTATTCTCTCTCTTCCTTGTGGACATCCTATTGTTCTTTAGCAAGCTGACTGCAGCTGACTGGGCCAAAGGAGAGAAGGTAGAAAGGACCAGGGGATCTGTGTTCCAGATCAACTTCTGCCTCTTCAGGGAGGGGCCAGCAGCCCAGCTGAAGTCCCCCTCCACTGCACCATTAAAAAGCCATATTCTGAAGTAAATGGGCACATGTGGCCACTCTCACCAAGACCACATCACACACCCAGGGATGGCAAAACATCCAGAAAGTAATTCCGCCTGCATCAAACTCTGGGGCGGCCTAGCTCACGGGCACTGGCCTGGCCTGGCCATCTCTGAGCATGTTTTGGAGCTGCAGTTTCCATTTTACCCTCTTGCACACGCTCTGTGGTGACCTCAGTGGAGGCTGCTTCCTCACTTYCCCCCAAGACAGCCACAGGCACTGCCCTCAGAGTCGCAGTCAATCCAGAGTGGACACAGACAAGTTCAATTCTGTGGTGATTCTAGAATAGGGGAAGGGAAGCACGCAGGGGGACCATGGAGGAAGGTCACCCAACCCAGTGCATGAGGTCAAGAAATGTTTCCTAGAGGAAGTGGCACCTAAATCCAAGACCTGAGGAATGCTTAGAGTTAGCTAAGCAAACAGGGGTCAGCTGTCCAGACAGATAAAATGCCCGTATGAAAGTCTAAAGAACACGAGGCGTGATCCGGGAAGAATAAGGGCTGCTCAACACATCAGAACAAGAGAGAGGCCGGAGGGAGTCAACAAGAAGCAGARCACGGAACAAACTCGACGTAAGGGTAATGGCCAGCTTCTGAAGGGCAGACACCAGGACACAAGGCCACATTTCATGCTGTGGGCCCAGCGTGGAGATTAGAAGGGATGGAGCTGAAGACAGAGGTTAAGACAATGTGGTGGGGGGGCAGGGGCTCAGGGGTAGAGCGCTTGCCCACTATGTGTGAGGCACTGGGTTCCATCCTGAGCAGCACACAAATACATAAATAAATAAAATAAAGGTACTGTGTCCATCTATAATTTATTTATATATATATATATATTTTTTTTTTTTTTAAAAAGATGATGATGTGCTGGTACTCCAGGGGAGATGGCAGAGGCTAAATTTAAGGCAGGGACAGTGGAATGAAGAGAAGCAAAAGGATCTCAGGAGGGGTAGGAGGAAAGCCCAGCTGAAGGCGCCCTCCACTGCACCGTTATCACTCTGCTTCCCTCAGCCACTCTATCCCAGTCCATGAGGTGGAAAGATTAAGAACAACATTCAGTTGTCTAGTTTTAAAACAACCAAATGGAGAGTAGCAGCATTCACTAAAACAGAGAACAGGGCAAGGTAAGCAGGCAGGGATGACGATTTGGGGTGACTTCAAGTCACCTAGACAAGAGGAGATGAGTAGAAGGGAACTGGTTGTGGGTGGTCTGAAGGCCCAAGAGACTTCTGAAACACACAGCTTTGGGGGCCATTAGCATGTCAATGGATACTAAAGATCTGGGCAAAGGGATGAACAGTGAGCCACCTCAGAGCTGATTTTCCCCATCACCCAAGAGCCAACAGAGCAAGCTATAGGATCAACCGCGGGTAAGAGAAGCCAAGGAAACTGACCAAGGAGCATCCATTGGCTGAGCCAGAGAGGCCAGTGCTGCACCTGAAGCAGTTCCAAGCGCAGGAATCACAGACCCTGGAACGGAGGATGGACAACAGGAAGGTGCAAGATGCGTGGTCAGCCTGCTCTGGCACTGGGCCAAAGGGCAGCATCAAGAAGGGATGAAAATGGGGGGAGTCCAGAGCCAAGGCAAGTTTCCTTTTCCCTTTTTCAGTGCGCTTACTGCTGCTGTGCTGGGGTCCGCAGAGAAGGAAGTGCTGAAATACAGGCTGAGAAACAAGAATGGGATTCTTTGCTAGTTGAAGGATGGTACTCACAGAGTAAATGTGCCTCTTCACTTTCTGGGTCCAAATGCAAGCAACTTTGTAAGTTTTAATGGACAGAAGTTGAAAGAGTTCTGATAACTTTCTTTTTTTTTGGGGGGGGGGGGTAACTGGGGATTCCCAGGRGCACTTAACCACTGAGCTAGATCCCCAGCCCTTTTTTATATTTTATTTAGAAACAGTCTCACTACATTGTGTAGGGCCTTGCTAAGTTACAGAGGCTGGCTTCAAAACCTGTAATCCTCCTGCCTCAGCCTCTGGAGCCACTGAGATTACAGGTGTGCACCACCACACCAAGCTAACTTTTTCTTTTCTTGAAGTAAAAACAAAGGGCACCTGTACTAAGGGTTGAGGAAAATCTGGGGGGAGGGGAGGAATATTTAGAGAGTGTAAACTTTCTAATAGTCAGTAGAGATCAGCAAAGAAAACTCACTAGAGAAGAGGAGCCTTRTTGTGCAGGTAGACAACCAAGAAGAGGCCATCCCTGGGGCGGTGTGGTCCTCACAAGAGCATTTAGCACCCCTTGCCAGTGACAYGGAAAGACAATAAGACAAGGGGGCTGAAGTCATGTCGAGGGACTTAGAATCTAGTCTGAATTAATAAGACTACAGAAAAACAGGATGAGTTATCTGTGTTATCTGAGATGACCTGTAACCATGGATCATCAAGAACTGGAAAACTAACAGGTGCCACTGAGAGCTGCATGTCCTCTTTCTCTCCCACCCTACGTCCCTACTCTTCAAATGTCCCTCCTACTCTTTCCACGTGACAAAATAAAGAAGATCTGGTGTGAATCAGGTGAACAGAAAACAGGTCCCATCTTCCGAGAGTGACTCTAATTCTATCACTACACTTTGGGAACAAGTAGTCGACAGTGTGACTTTGAGGTAAAGCAACCAAGCCCAACAATGAAGGAAATCAGCAAGTACAATCCTGGGAGGAATTCCAGCAACTCTACGAGCAGAACATCTTCCACTCCTCACCTCATGTTCACGCACTTGAAGACTAACATGGATGTGTACACCTTGAGAAAATACTTAGCTTCTGAATGTTCTACTGTTCTCCCCTGTCCTGCCTCATTGCTTCCATAAATTAAGAAAAAAAAAAAAAAAACATCTCAAGTGCAGCTGTTTAGAATGAAGCACACAAAATTAACTAATATCTTTTGCTCAGCGTCCCACTGTTCATGCTGGCTGAGGGAATGAGAAGGGCCTGACTGAACAATGAGAATCTAGCCAT